TTTCTTTCTTTCTTTCTTTCTTTCTTTCTTTCTTTCTTTCTTTCTTTCTTTCTCTCTCTTTCTTTCTTTCTCTCTTTCTTTCTCTCTCTCTTTCTTTCTCTCTTTCTTTCTTTCTTTCTTTCTTTCTCTTTCTTTCTTTCTTTCTTTCTTTCTCTCTCTTTCTTTTTCTCTTTCTCTCTCTCTCTTTCCTTCTCTCTCTTTCCTTCTCTCTTTCTTTCTTTCTCTCTTTCTTTCTTTCTTTCTTTCTTTCTTTCTCTCTTTCTTTCTTTCTCTCTCTCTCTTTCTTTCTCCTTCCTTCCTTCCTTCCTTCCTTCCTTCCTTCCTTCCTTCCTTCCTTCCTCTCTCTCTCTCTCTCTCTCTCTCTTTCTTTCTTTCTTTCTTTCATTTTCCTGCACAAATCCAAGTTCGGACCTAGTTGTTTTTGCGTTTCCAGGGTCCAACTACTGCAGTCAGCCCACCCATCCCAACGGCGACTGCAGCCATTTCTGCTTCCCAGTACCAAACTTCCAGCGGGTGTGTGGCTGCCCCTACGGCATGAGGCTTCAGAGGGATCAGATGACCTGTGAGGGCGACCCAGCCCGTGAGCCGCCCACGCCGCAGTGTGGCTCTCTCTCATTTGCCTGCAACAATGGCAAGTGTGTGCCCAACGTATTCCGCTGCGATGGAGTGGACGATTGTCATGATAACAGTGATGAGCTTCAGTGTGGCGCATTCAGTGAGTATCTTCGTGCTGGAGCGTTTGCGGAGGTGACCAGGACAGAGGAGTGGTCGTAAGCAATGATAAAAGCACGGGCTATGTGCACGGGAAAATATCACCGAGGTATTACTCAGAATATAAGATTCGTTAACATGTCCTTCAAAGAAAGTTAAGCAATACACGAGTCATCAGTAATGTCATAGATTAGACTGTTATCAATAAAATTCTTGTGACATTACCCCATGCAGTTCTGTTCATTTGGGTAAGCTCTTCAAAAAGTCAAATCAGGGCTGAGGATAGGGCTCACTCGTAGAGATACTGCTCTGCAGTGTAGGGAGCCGTATCACAGAACAGGTACTGGCAGCTGTACCTTTGATAACATCATGTCCTGAGTATGTTTTAATCCCCCTCTGGAGTGCAATGAACTGGGGTGGAATGGGTCTCCATCTCTCCACTCTTTTGATGGTATTCTCGCCCCTGCGGTTTCAGTTCTAACAATTACCATTGCAGAAGGCCCAAGGATCCCACTAAAAAAAAAAAAAAAAAAAAAAAAAAAAAAAAAAATGAAGACAATTGAGATCCTTAGAAACATCTATTCAAAATGAGGCCAGCAGCAGTAATAACCCATGCCTGTAGAGAGAGAGAAGGGTTGTTTGAAAAGTTGTACATTTTCCTGAAATTGTTGCAGGAGGAAGGTAGAGATGAGACAAGGATTGTACCAACTTGAGCTGTAGTGTTGGGAAGATTCCTATATCTCTCAAAGTCCAGTTTAAGATAGATAGATCGATAGGTAGGTAGGGTGATAGATGTTTATAGATAGTTGATCTATCATGCTTTGTATTTATCAAACCTAAACCACTCTCCCACTGCTCCCTATTTTGTGTGAAGCTGTATGGAAAAGTGAGAAGAACTTGGTCTCTCCAGGAACAACCTCATGAGAGTGTGACTAAGCAAACCTTTTCATGAGGACTCTGTGACTGTTTGTAGATAATTCCTGTTCGTCTTCGGCTTTCACCTGTGTCCACGGCGGGCAGTGCATCCCTGGCCAGTGGCGCTGTGACAAACAGAATGACTGTTTAGATGGCAGTGACGAGGAAAACTGCCCCACTAGTACGACTTCAACCTGCCCATCCACCTCCTTCACCTGCGACAATTACATGTGTATCCCAAGAGAATGGCTCTGCGACACAGACAATGATTGTTCTGACGGATCAGATGAAAAGAACTGCCGTGAGTTTTGAGCTGATGAGGTCCCTGGGTTGGTCACCCCAAATGTAGACCCAAAAAATCTACTTTGAGTGGTAGTATGTGTAGTAGTAGGCTTTGAGTTCTTGCCTCTGAGACTCCTAGTGTTGTCTCCTTCTTGTCAATCTCTAGATATCAGTAGCCTCATCCATGTTGGATGTATCGAGCCTTATCAAAGCAGAACACAGATGTCAGGCATCCAGAGAGAAACTATAAACAAAAACAAACAAACAAACAAACAAACAAACAAGAAACCTGGATGTGGTGGTGCACATCCATAGTCTCAGCTAACTGCTGCAATCAGTAAAGGGTGGAGCAATGAGGTCTGACACTCAATGGAGGATGACACGAACCTTCGGCCATCGCAAGCATGAGTACACATGCATGAGCAGACGCGCACATACACAAGTGCGCGTGCCTTCTAACATGCATATATGATCATGCATACACACATCCCACGTCCCACACGTATATTTTTAACAAAAATCAGTTTACCTAGCACCTTGTAAGCATCCACGCATCTGGCTGTTCTTCTTTTCATTTAACACAGAATAAAGATACAGTCAGTCTCTCTTCCCCTCCCTCATTTCACTGGTTCTCATTCTTTAACACTGTCCATTTGTTGTTAAACAAGAGTTTAAGATGGAGCAGGGTTGTCAGGACTAAAATCTTGTACTGGTTACAGAACTAGGAAGTTCACTTTCCTCCCGGAAGAGTTGTGCCCTTATAATTTTTGCCTTCCAGGAGCGCATGTTTTTCATTCACTTGGTGGGGTGGGTGGGCGGCCTGCGTGCCTCGCTCTAGCACTGTTGCTTCTCGTGGTGAGCCGACCCTGCTCCTCAGATTTGGGAGAGTCACAGACTCATGAGAAACGGCACCAGGCTATTCCTTGATGAATGTCTTCTGTTTCCCAAGATTGCCTCTGCCGGGAGTCTTTATATTCGAGTTTTCTAAACTTGAAAATTCTTAGCTTTAATATTGCTGCTGGTCTGAAGGAGTCTGACCACACAGAACTGAGATAAGTTTTTGAACAGAAAATAAACTTGGCTTTGCTTTTGTATCTCACTAGAAGCTTCGGCCACCTGCCAACCTACACAGTTCCGTTGCCCTGACCACCGATGTATCAGCCCGTTGTATGTCTGCGATGGGGACAAGGACTGTGTTGATGGGTCTGACGAGGCAGGCTGTGGTGAGTGGACAGCTTTACCTTCTCCTCGCCGTGTCCTCCGTTTACCTTGGATTTAATTTCAAATGCTTTTCTCTTCCGTTTTCAGTGTTAAACTGCACGAGTTCGCAGTTCAAATGTGCTGATGGGAGTTCTTGCATTAACGTCAGATACCGCTGTGACGGGGTTTATGACTGCAAGGACAACTCTGACGAGGCAGGCTGTCGTAAGTACCTCATAGACAGTGTATTTCAGACAGAAGCACCCTTACTTTACGATTGGGTATTACTGTATAGTTCTTTTATTTTCAAATTTGGACAAGCTGGGGAAAGACATAACTCAACATGTTCTTAAGAGAATGAGATATTGACATGCCGTGATATTACCGCATAATGACTTACATGTTATATAAATGAACATTTCGAATTTTAATTCCTTCAACATTTTTCTTAGTTTTCACATTCCAAGGACATGTACACATACATGGTTGCATACACATGCCAAGTATATAGGGGATGTCAGAAGACAGTCTGCGGGCTCCAGGCCTCCTTTGTCACTATGTGAATCTTTAGGCTTTAGCCATTCTGCTAGCCCCATCTGAATGCAGTTCCATTGACATCTCAATTGGGAAGTCAAGCTATGGAATAGAAATTGTATATGCCTTAAGTGGGATTGCCTCATTCATGCAAGTTGTTGCCTGTCCATAAGAAAGGGGTAAGGTAATTACCCCTGGCAGATAGCCTTAGAAATGGCTTAGTTAGAAAGCAAGTAAACTCCTTCTAAAATCCTTCAGGATTTAAGGGCGACTCCATGTAAGTCTGATGTGACCCCATTCTGTTATATTCAGATTAGGGACCCATGATAACATGATTTTTCTTTTTGTCTATTGTCTGTGTGAGATGCATTTATTTTATCTGTAAAAAAGAAAATCTGAACATTTGCTTAAACAGTTGCCATTTAGACAATCCCAGGGAATCAGAAAGGAAGTATATAAATTCATCAATGGAAGGAAAACAAAAAAACCCAGGAAGTTTTTTTCTGACTTGTACTTTGATGGAAGAGTATATCCTGTGCATAGTTTGTTACTGGATCCACTAATCTGCCACACCTAAATATTTCCATGTACCGCAATATGCAAGAGCATTTGACCTTTCGTATTGGTTCTGTCTTCATCATTATTATAAACCCACTGTTAGTCCAGAACAACCTCCTCTGAATCTGTATCTCGAAAAGGATCAGAAATGGCAATTACAAGAGCAATACGCATGTGCCTTTGCTCTCTCTAGCAACCAGGCCTCCTGGCATGTGCCACCCAGACGAGTTTCAGTGCCAAGGAGATGGTACCTGCATCCCTAACACCTGGGAGTGTGACAGACACCCAGACTGCATCGACGGATCTGATGAGCACAACGGCTGTGTCCCTAAGACCTGCGCTCCAACCCATTTTCTCTGTGACAATGGGAACTGCGTCTACAAATCATGGATCTGTGACGGGGACAATGACTGCAGGGATATGAGTGATGAGAAGGACTGCCCCACTCAGCCTTTTCAGTGTCCCAGTTGGCAGTGGCAGTGCCCGGGCTACAGCACGTGTATCAACCTGAGTGCCCTCTGTGATGGCATCTTTGACTGCCCGAATGGGACTGATGAGTCCCCACTTTGCAGTAAGTTCTATGATCACGGTTCACTGGCCACACATTCATTCTGAACAGCAGATTGTCTCAGTCCCGTGTAGTGTTTTGGGAGGGGAGTGTAGTTCCTTTGTGAGTTTATATATCCCTGTAGGAACAAAGATAAATTCCAATAAACCATGACTGCATAATAACTTCTCATTCGTTCCTTTGCACTGGTGTCTGTGTTTTCCCTTCTTCGTATGTCATTGTTTAGGACATCACATCATCAAATTAAATGTAGCTCTCTTAGTAATGTGTTCATAAACTTTTCTAACTTGAAGATTTTTCTAATTTTAATCCGAACTTGTCATCAAACAAACGAAATCTGGGGAGGGGGTTGTTTTTGCGGTGATTAAAATGCTCTGATTGGCATGTGATCCTAATTACTGTCCCTTGTCTCCTCCCTCTTTGATTAACGCTCACTCTCAGACGAACCCCAGCAAGGTATGACTGTGAACTGTTCTAGACTTTTCTGAGCTCACGCGTGCCATGCGTATGCTGACTTCGTACTAATCCCTGTGACCTCACCTCCTAGTGCATGCCCTGTGTTCTGACTCTTTACCCGTAAGTCCTGGTGCTCATGGCGGTAGGGGGCATTTCCATACCCTGGCATACAACCTGGCTTTGAGCCGCAGCAGCCGTTGCTGCTACGAGTAAGGCCTGGTGATGACGGTGTGTCAGCGAGTCTGTGTCCTCCCCTCCACTTCCAGCTTTTCTCCTGTGAAACATTTAAGACCCATAGTTCCATTTCTAGTTAGCTTGGAGAATTCCAGAGGGAGCAAGTTAGGTTTCCCTGCTTCATCAATGACAGCTCGGCCTCGTGATCCCAGAAATATTTCGTCAGGGCTCTCTCACTATAGTAAATGGAGTTAGACTGGGGGGGGGGGTGCTCCAATGGATGCTATATCCACAGGCAATTCAGAGAGGATACTAAACAGATCATCAAAGAGCTTGTGGCTCTCAGTTAACTCAGGTTAGGAGAACTACACTGGAGTGAGTTAAAACAAAACAAAACAAAACAAAACAAAACAAAACAAAAACCCCCAAAAGCAGGAACGTCTAACTTCTTGCCCTGTGACTCTCTTCTAGACCAGGACAGCTGTTCACATTTTAATGGTGGTTGCACCCACCAGTGTGTCCAGGGGCCCTTTGGAGCCACGTGCATATGTCCGTCAGGGTACCAACTTGCCAATGATACTAAGACCTGTGAAGATATAAACGAGTGTGAACTTCCAGGCTTCTGCAGCCAGCACTGTATCAACATGAGAGGCTCCTTCCGGTGTGCTTGTGATGCAGAATACTTACTGGAAAGTGACGGGCGGACTTGCAAAGCTGCAGGTAATTGTTACGCTTACGAGGGAACTAATACCAGGACATGTAATATATAGCCTCTCCAGGGTGGAAGCCTGACTCGTCCCCCAGCCAGGTTATTCAATGCCTTTTGACCTATATGAAAGTGAATATATTCGATGTTAGAATATTGATCCAGCTGTTTTCAAAGTGGTTAACCAGAGGAGGATTTAAAAGTTCCTTTATTGTAGGATACAAAGGCAGATGCCCAGCACTTGGGAGGTAGGATCAGGTCATCCTGGGCTTTGGGCTACATAAGGCTTTGCTTCAAAAATACCAATGTAAAAGGGAAGACTTTCTTTTCTTTTTTGTTCTTTTTGGTTTTTCAAGACAGGGTTTTTCTGCGTAGTCTTAGCTGTCCTGGAGCTCACTGTGTAGACCACGCTGGCCTCAAATTCACAAAGATCCACTTGCCTCTGCCTCCTGAGTGCTGGGATTAAGGTGTGTACCACGATTACCCAGCTCCTTTCTTTTCAAGTAGGTTGGATGACAGCAGTCTAAGGGACAGACTGATTCATATTATCATGAGGTTTCCACCCAAGATCCATCAAGTTTTCTTTCTCTTAGAAAGCAGGCTAGGAAAAGAAACATCCTTTTAAGGATGTAATCTGGAAGTGGATATATCCTTGCTACTGATATACTATTAGTCATTTGGTTACTGCAGCTGCAGTGGAGGCAGAGACATGACTCTATCTGAGTAGCCTTAGGCCAACCTAAATGTGACTTATTCTAAAAAGAAAAGAGGGAAAGGAATATTAGCAGACAGAACTCTCTGCTGCAACTAATGCTTTTAGGAAAAACAAAACAAAACAAAACTTGAATCCTGCCAAGAATCAAGCCTACAGTCTGCTAAGGTAGATAGCAAATTATAATGAAAACAGCACAAGGATGGATGTAAGGATAGCTTATTCCAGGCTGGTACTTAGATGCTCGCTGCAATAATCCAAGAAAAAAGGCTTTTTTTCATAAAACAACTATTTTACATGCCAACGAACATCAATGAATAAGGTTCCCCCGACCCTGCTTAGCTTCTGATGAGCTGAGGGGTGTCAGGATGGAAGGGCTTAGGCAACTGACAAGGTTAAGGATGAATTGATTGATTCATGTGGTCCTACCCTCCTCATCCCCCCATTTCTCTAGTTTGGTATCACACAAATGTTGAAGATGTTGAAGAGACCCTTTAAATGTTTTTCTTTCAGATTCATTGACAGCTTCTTTTTCTTTTTTCCTCCCTGATTTCCAGCATCTGAAAGTCAGTTGTTAGTTGTAGCAAGTCAGGACAAAATCATCGTAGACAATATCACTGCCCACGTGCACAACATCTATTCATTGGTCCAGGATGTTTCTTTTGTGGTTGCTCTTGATTTTGATTCGGTCACCGGACGCATCTTTTGGTCTGACATACGGCAGGGGAAAACCTGGAGTGTTTTTCAAAATGGAACAGACAAGAGAGTGGTAGGTGCTCTTTTATAGCCCTTCTATATTTATTGTTCCTCACCAAGAGAAGGTCCCGCCCTCTCTCTTGCAGGGTTATGCATCATATTCAAGAAGTCTGGCTGTTCCTGACTTCAGTCCTGCGGATGTGCTCTCCATGTGGCTGAATTCCATGCCATGTGACGCAGATACTTTGTGAATCTTTCACAGATCAGAGGAGAGGAAAGTGCTAGAGAGTCAAGGAGTTGCTTCACTGAGCTTTCATTGACTTACGCTTTTCAGCCCATCTCCCTGAGTTCGTTTGATTAACCATTTTATTTTATGTGTCCAAGTGTAAGTCACACGTGTGTGGTTTCTAGGAGAGGCCGGAAGATACTGTCTGATCCCCAATCATGAGCTGCCGTGTGGGTGCTGGGAAACAAACTTATGTTCTCTTTGAGAGCAACAAATGCCTTTAATCACTGAGCCATCTCATCTCTCCAGCCCCCTGAGTTGGTTTCTTCATCCCCAGTAGTGACAATTTCTTTAGTGAACACTGTAAGTTGTTACACGTCGGTAGAGCCATTAGCAAGTGCAGATGCTTTAAAATCAAAATGAAACCACCCATGAATACAGCTATCTCATATCATTTGATGGTATATTAAATATACCATTATATTTTTACTCCTAAATTGGCTAACTGGTTACCTACATTGGGAGACAAATTGTTCCAAACCAAACATGTTAGATTTCTTATTCTAGACTTGCATATAATTTCCATGTTTACTCCCATTTATTCTTTCTAATTATTCACCTCTTATCTTTTTGTTTGTAGGTACATGACAGTGGTCTCTCTGTGACGGAAATGATTGCAGTAGATTGGATAGGTCGCAACCTTTACTGGACGGACTATGCTCTTGAAACAATTGAAGTTTCTAAAATTGATGGAAGCCACAGGACAGTGCTGATTAGCAAAAATGTCACAAAACCTAGGGGACTAGCATTAGATCCTAGAATGGGGTAAGAAAGACATTTACTACTTTAGCCATGAGGTATTGAATCGGTGCTAGGTTCCCAATTAAGGCATGTAATAATACTGTCCCATAGGTGGGCCTCTTAGCTGTGATTTTGAGACAACTAAATGGCTGTTTCTGTTTCAGTTCATGTTATTTCCTAGAGATTTCTTTTAAGCCTTATAAGGAGGAGACCTTTGCCTGAAAGGTATAAGAGGAAGAAAGAAATTCTTTCGTGTACTTCAGAACCTTTGAAAAATCTTTCCTAGATTTTATGTAGATTCTTTAAGTTACATTGTTTTCTACTGAATCATGAATTAGACAGTTCACATTCAACACGATGCTAAATCTCCAGAGAGTGAGTTATTACACACCAGTGATATTTATAACGAATCCCTGAAGACAGAGAAAGCAATTGACTACTTAAAACTTGTAGGATAAATAGGCAAGGACAAAAATTTATCTGTGGATTGTTGGCATTTGGGGCATTTCCACGTCATAATGCAACGCCTATTTTATGAACATTTTAAAGACATCCAGATGGCTTGTGGTTGCACTATGATCACAGAGAGAGGAATGACCATGTGTTGAATTGTGTTAACCGGGAGTTACCTTTCCTATATATATTTCCTCTTTTCACAGTGACAATCTAATGTTCTGGTCTGACTGGGGCCGTCACCCACGCATCGAGCGAGCCAGCATGGATGGTACCATGCGCACAGTCATTGTCCAGGACAAGATCTACTGGCCCTGCGGCCTAAGTATTGACTACCCCAACCGACTCATCTACTTCATGGATGCCTATCTTGACTACCTTGAATTCTGTGATTATGATGGACACAATCGAAGGCAGGTCATTGCCAGTGATTTGGTAAGTTTGCAGTCAAGTTCATATTTAACAACAGCGGGGTATTATCCACCTTCTGTTATTAACAAGAAAGTTAGCATGTTTATTTTAGTCATAGTCAGATTGTACCATGTCTTTTAATAGCCAACATGCCTTGCGGGATCTGTGGATGCTTGTATAGCTTTAAAAATTAGGGCTTAAAAAGTGAATAAACTAGACTCATATTTCTCAATGAAACTGGAGCGTATTATATGTTTGATATTGTTTAATTCGATGAATTCTGTTTAAGTTTTACAAATTGGCCAATGCAGAAAAATATGGAATTTACCAAAGAGCTCTCACAGCTTAGTTCCTGTGACTGGAGGGAGTCCCAAGAGGAGGCTTCCTGTCTTTGGGTAACATATGCTGTCAATATAACAGATCACGTGGCAGAAATAGCCCTGAAACAGTTTTCATTTAAAAAATCGCCACCCAGTGTCATTCCCAAAGTAGACACTTGCATTAGCTGCTTCCCAGCGCCTTCAGTATTTAAGTGCTGAGAAAAATCTCCTTGACCCGTCATCCCTCTCCTCCATTTCTGGGTGAGGTCTCACTGCCTGATTCTGCTTCCCAGGTTCTCCACCACCCTTACGCTCTGACTCTGTTTGAAGACTCTGTGTACTGGACTGACCGTGGCACTTGGCAGGTTATGCAGGCCAACAAGTGGCATGGGGGGAACCAGTCTGTTGTCATGTACAGCGTTCACCAGCCTCTGGGGATTGTTGCCATCCATCCTTCAAGGCAACCATCTTGTAAGTGATAGAAACAGCCTTCCTGGGAAGAGTATGGTCACTACGTCTTCTGGACATGCTAAGGGCATACATGTTCTTTTCACCAAGCACAGTGCTACATGCTCCTCCCGGCCCCTGCACTGCTGTTGCTTTTATTTATGACAAGGGAAGTAGTCCCTTGTAGGTGGTGATAGCATGTCCTCATCACATCATTTCTTTCAGCAATTAGCTGTTACCTCTATGACCTTTTTAAGCTGCTAACTGTTGCGACTCATGATGCTGCCACTGCCTTGTCGCCTTTATGCATGGGGTGTGGGTGGACAGGTGATGTAAAGGTTTGGTCGTGGTGGCGATCTTTCTGTTTGTCGGGAGGGAGAACACTTAACCTTCCTATAATCTTCTCTCCTCAAATCTCTGCAGTCGTGTCTCACACTCAGAGTCTGGCCCTGTCTCTTCTGTGGCTTACATTCACCACGCTGGACTACATCAGGGTCCAGTGACACACCAGGCGAGTCCTCAGCTTTGACCTTTTACCTTCTTCGTCCTGTCCTGAACATCTGTCTTCTGTCTCTGTCAGAATCGCTGCCTTGTGTCGGTTAGGGTTTTGCTCAAATGCCACTTCCTCAGAGAAGCTACTCCTCATCACGCTACCTGAGATCGCCCTCCTCTCATACTGTTCCTCACATTCTGAAATTGCCATCTCCAACATGAATTTGGTTCTATTTCCTTTCTACAGTGCGTACTCTATGTGTTATCTTCACTGTTTAGAATGTTGTTTGGTACCTGGAAGATTATATATACATCATATATATAATATATATAATATATATATATTATATATATATATATATCCGTGTGTGTCTGAGAGAAAAAGAATAGATTATTTAGTATGCCATATGTAGATGAAACAGGATCTAGAAACACCCTGTGAGCCTAGATGGTACACAGAGTCCTCTTTTTAAGGACTGGCACACGCAAAGATGTGGAAAAATGGAAGATTGCTCTCTAAGCAAAGTAAGAATATCACCGGGTAGACATCAAGGTCACACAGCAGACATATAACCTGTTTTCATTTCATGCAACAAGATAGCTTTTAGGTCCAACCGGGAGACATTGTATTTATGGCATGAGTTCTAGATAATTCAGTGACGTCATGATCTGGTTATAGACTGGGCCACAATCATCCTTCTCCCTTGTGCCTCTTAACAAAGGTGACTGCAAGCATTCCCTTTTGCAACGCTGGGCGCTCTGGGTAGGACCATGACCCTGTGCTCTGTTGTGTAGGCAATTTTGCATTGAAGCATGCATTCCTTTCTTTCTCCCACAGCCCCAAATCCATGCGCCTCTGCCTCCTGCAGCCATCTCTGCCTGCTTTCTGCACAGCCGCCTAGACATTACTCTTGTGCTTGTCCTTCAGGATGGAACCTCTCTGACGATTCTGTCAACTGTGTGAGAGGTAAGCGTGTTCTTTCCATCACCTGTTATAGTTGGTGCTAGGCTGTGGAAACCCTCAACCCATTTGTAGGTGAAACCGAGCATGGCATTTCCCATTATGCTCTGTGGGTACCTTCTGTGGGGTGATTCAGTTGAATGTCTCAGTTGTGAAGTAGGTTCTGTGGAGCTAATGTTACATGTGGTTAAACAACTTTTAACCTCGTATTTTCTCATACCTAACTTTTCTGATGAGTGACTTTCAAATTCTGCATTTAGAAGGTAGACATTCTTGACGTTTGTGCCCAGCCATTTTTTTTTTCAGGTCCATTGCTTCACTTTTAAAAATTCTTATAATAAACTGTCAGTGACGTGATCTGTCCTGGATCTTATGACTCCAACTTCAGTATTGTTACTATTATTGTTATTATCTGATACCTTAGTACTAAGTGCTGTCTCTGTGAGAATTATTACAAGTGGCTATTTGAGCAACTTAATCTTAGTTATCTTAGCGGGTTGATTGAAGGGTTTGTGGAGTATTATGTCCAGTGCTGTGGAGATTACAAAGAGAAAGAGAAATGATTTCTTCAAGAATGTATATTTATCCTTTATTGATTAGAAATTTAAAAAGTTACTCAGCCTCTTTCTCGCGGAGGAGGAGTGAATGTATTTTGAATCTGTTCAAGTTGCTAGAGATAAGTTGAAACTAAGTGGTTAATTATTACATCTCCAAATCTATGGGGAAAGTAGGTTTTTCTCATGGAAAGCAGATAATGGATTCAGGACATGCATAGTGTTTGTAGGTTATACAGTCGAGGTTACCGAAGACGAAGCCACATCCACATCCACATATGTGACATTGTGCCATCATACTTTTGTGATGAAAGGTTTTAATTATTGGTAATATTTACAACAAATGACGATGGACATTTGCTGCTTTTCTTCAGAGATTTATTACATTACTAATCCTTGTTGACATTGCTTAATTTAGTGTGTCCTTGAGTCTTTCAGAGAAGATTAATCTGGGCAAAGATATTTTAAATACAAAGAATTCTTTCACCAAAGATTGTCAGCTATTCATGGGGGGGGGGGGGGTACCATTGATATTATTCACAATACTATCTGAGGGTGATTCTACGTTTTTTTTGGGGGGTGGTTCTCTGGCTTGGAACTCACTCTCTGGACCAGGTTCTCCTCGAACTCACAGAGATCTACCTGCCTTTGCCTACCAAATGTGGGGATTAAAGGCAGGCCCCATCACTACCAGGCTCTTACAGTGATTCTAAATAGCATCAGTTGTCATTCTACTTGTGATTTTCTCAGGGTTGCCTTTGGAAGTGGTCTTTAGTATTCCCTAGTTGGTTTCCCTAATTGGCTTGACTACCAATATATGTTTATTAAGAAAAGTTACACATTTTCCCCAATAAGTTTAAACGAATGACTACAGGTAGATAAACATTTCCCTTGGTTAGTTGCTCCTTTGCCTTCAGCGGTGTTTGCTAAACTACTGGAATGGCAGTGCTTGCCTAACACTGGACATGAAAGAAAACACCTTGCTTGTCCAACACAAACCTTGGGATATCTGTTTCAAGTGCTGGAAATTGGTCTAGAGAACCAAACCAACAATTTAAAAAAATCTGGAAAAAAGCAAGCATCTGTAAACCAATAGCAGTTATTTGATAGAGGGAATGATGGGATTTCTTGGTTTCTTTTCTGCATATATATATATATATATATATATATATATATATATATATATATACACACACTTTTATTATTAATCATTATTATTGTCTGTTTGTGTATATATGTTGTGACTTGTGTGCCTGTGTACACGGGAGCATCCATTGTGTGTGGATGTCAGGGCACCACCTAGAAGGGTGAGTTGTTTCTTTCACTGTGGGTTTTAGAGTTCTAACTCAGGTTGTCAGGCTTGTGTGACAAACACGTTCACCCACTGAGCCATCTCTCTGTACTCACTTTTCCTAATTTTATTTTTTAAAAATTAGAATGAGAACTTTCTTACACTTATGTAAGAAATATACTTCCCATGATGACCTAACCAAGTAGATAAAGTGTAGCTACACACCCAAATACTCACTCAGGAATGGTAAATGCAATCTGGGTCTTTATGTCATCACTAGATATTTGGGGAACCTTTGAAGATACTTTAAATTCCATTGTGTGAATTCTATCCATTCAATTATGTGGTTATTATTGACTACACACACATACATAGATACACACAGACACACATACATGCAGACACACAGAGACACATACACATACAGACACACATTGACACACATACACAGACACACACACACACACACACACGGATTGAACCCATGGTCTTCTGCATGCAAGGCAAGCACCCTCTGACCTAGCTACTTCTCCATCCTCAGAACCGCAGGTATTTATTTGGGTAGCTCTTTTATTCCAAGGTTTCTGTCAAGTTCTAGATATGCAACAGTGATAAAACTGAGCACAATAGTAATTGTGCTTCTTTGTGAATTAGAATCCAGTAAGGATTAACTGGATGCTGTATTAACTAAATGCTACCGGAGAGGCAGGAGACAAGGTGCTGCTCACCCTGTTATGGTTCACCCCTCCACCTTCCCTGAGGATGGACCCAAAGTTGTTTGTTGTTAAGGTTGTCTGCGGAGAGAGAAGAGCTCTCTGACTCAAATCCTGATAGTTTGTCGCCATGGGTAAGGGCGTAATGAGACTGTTGTCGTTACAGGAGACCAGCCTTTCTTGCTCTCTGTAAGGGACAGTATCATCTTTGGAATCTCCCTTGATCCCGAGGAGAAGAGCAACGACGCCATGATTCCCATACCAGGGGTGCATTATGGTTATGATGTTGAGTTTGATGACTCAGAGCAGTTCATCTATTGGGTTGAGAATCCGGTAAGTTTTGGATACATTCAGTGTATATGGTCATTACTTAAGGCGGCATTCATTCTTTCAGGGAATTCCAGAAAGGCCCTTGGTGGAGCTACTGGGGGCCTTGGGTTAGAATCTCTTGCTTCTGGTGCAAATCTTTCTCCAGCACCCTTCTGCTTGAGACTCTTCTTTTTCCTTTTTTTTTTTTTTTTCATGGAAGCAATCTGTAAGAATGGGAAGAGAGCCAGGAGAAAGAGAGAAGCAAGGAAACCATCTTTGTGTTTGATGCTGTCTGCCTTGTGTGGTGACTTGTGAGACACTTTAAAATGTGCTTTTAATCTTTATTTGTTAAGGCTCTGTACAGTGAGCTTGTCTCCTGAAAGGTCAGGTACTCAGCTTTGCTTTTTCCAGCGAGTGAGGAGTATCGAGGAAACGCTGGCAGCTGGGAACGGCTGTAGTGAGAGAAGAGGGCGTCTGTACAGGGCCTGTCCAGCCCAGCTCACCTCCTTTGTCTTTCTTCCCAGGGTGAAATTCACAGAGTGAAAACTGACGGCAGCAACAGGACAGTATTTGCTTCTCTGTCTCTGCTGGGGTCTTCTTTGGGCCTGGCCGTAGACTGGGTATCAAGAAACATTTATTATACCACTCCTGGAAGCCAGTCCATCGAGGTAAGGCTTCCAATGTCATGCAGGTGCAAACATTGCTTTTAGATTCATGTAGAATATATTCTTAGGGAAGGTGGCTCACACCTCTAATTCCAGTACTGGGAGGCTTAGCCAGGAGGACTGCCATGATTTCAAGGCTGGCTTGGATGTCAGAGTGAGATCTTATTGCAAGCCCCTCCCCCAAATAGCAGAACCAAAACCACCTACAACAGCAAATAAACAACAACAACAAATATACCAGCAACTCCAAGGGAAAGAAAAACCACCTTACAAAAAGAAATTAATAGAACATTCTATTATTCTGTGTTGTTTCCTACAAATTTTCAATTCTCCTGTGCCCCTATAAAGGATATTGGTTAATTTATATCATATGCCAATTAAAACCATAGAAGAAATACTGTATCAGTTATCAGCCAAATTTATAGCTACCTCTGTTCTCAGATAAAAATCACACTATGGCTTCAGGGTAGTTTTTATAACAGTGAAAGACAAAACAGAAACTCAATTCTAATTCCTCTCTTCTTTGAGATAAGTGCTCTTTGTATCTCAGTTCCCACAAGACATTCTAGACGCAGGGTAGGATTGAAATCACATGAAGTAAGCCCATGTCTCCGGTTTTGGCTTTCTCCACTCTGGGACAACTATAAGCATGTGGAGGAATATGAATTCATGCTAGTTTTGAAAGTGAGTTCCTAGGGGGAAAGAAGGGCTTATGAGAGGATTAGTCAGCAGACCTGAGAGTTGACACATAGCTGATCAGTCGATGGCGGCTCTTTGGTTTGTTTGGTGAGAGTCATATTGGTGAAGAGAAAGGTGGACAGAAGCTTGCTAGAGGCCACAGCGGGACAGTTCTTTATAGTTTACAAGTTCGCAATGATCTGACGGCTATAGAGGTTCACGGTGAGTGAGAGTTTTGCAGTATGCGCAAATGCCAGTCAGTGGAATGCCTCAAAGCAAACAGTGTGACGGGACCCTGAGGACCCATCTGGTGCAAGCCTTTTTGTGCAAGCAACCACAGAAAGGAAATGGCAGAAGCGGTTGGCTTCAGTGCCAGGAATGAGTGCAGGAAGGCACTTTTCATAATCTGGAGCTCATCAAAACACGGTGTGCTGCTGAGAATCTCCCTGCCAAGCCTGAGGCCCTCAGGGGAAAGCGGTGATTGAGCACACTCTCTTCCTGTGACTTGGTTGATTGCTTTCAATTGTCCAAAGGCTTCGAGTAGGTCCCCAGCAGCAACAGGTAAAACGAACATCGGGTTGGGGAACCACTGAGCGTGCCTGTGTGTGTATCAAGTGTCAAGGCCACTTGAACTGCAGAAACCTGGCTTGTAATTGAGCCTCCAGTGCAGGGTGATAAAGTGGGAAGGGTCCAGCTCAGCATCCAATTCAGCCTGGCCTTGTGGCTACTTCCCTTGTGTATTTTATTCATTCAACAGATATTAGTAATTTTTTTTTTTTAATGTATCGATCAGTAGCCTGGTTGGTCCTGGATATCCAAAGATGAGCAAAACATTGTTTTTCCTTTTAAGTAGTCCACACTCAAACCAATAATTTTGCTCCATCATGGCAAATACAAAGTGCTATTTGGGGGGTGGGGGGTCAGTCAGTGCAAAGCTTGTCAGTGGTTATTTGAACTCACCTGGAAGGATGACCATAGCTATTTCTAGAAAAAAAGTATGGAAAAGGAAGTATGGAAAAGGCAGAGGGACAAAAACTCTGAAATAAAAACCAAAGCAAAACTAAACAAAACACACGACCTGTTTGACCTTGGACAAGTGGCTTGACCTTGCTAAACCCCATAGTTCATTAAGTAAAAATGTTTCACGGTACCGAGTTACCTTATGCAACAGGGTACAAATTAGCACTGTATTAAAAAAATGGGAGGTTGGTCATCCAAGGGTTTGTATTGGTTAGTTTCTTAAGTAATTTACAGTTCTTCCTGATGAATGCGAAGAAAGGAGGTATGATGCTTGCTCATCTGTGGTGTTCCAGCATGGGTGGATCACACTTCATTCCATGTTGAAAGTAGGAGTGGCTGCGGAAGAGCCTGCTTTCCACTAGGGGTAGCTGCATGCCTAGTCATTGAAAAAATGTGCAGCTTAAAAATGCAGCCTATGGGTGGCTGTGTGAGAGATCCGGAGGTAGAATAGAAGTCAAGGAGAAGAGACTTTAATGTGACCCAAGAAGATTGCTAGGCCCAGAAAAGGTAGGAGATGGTAACAGAAAGAGGCAACTTGAAATGAGAAAAATTATTGTAGTTCAAGCAGGAATTAGAGATGCCAGACAGGGGGCAGAGTAAGGGAGAAAGATAGCAGGTGCGTGTGCGCGTGTGTGCGTGTGCGTGTGTGCGTGTATGTGTGTGTGTGTGTGTTTGTTATTGATAGAGGGAAAGAGAAAGGGAAAACTCAGACATAAGTAATCTATTTGCACCCAATAGCAGTTTTACAGAAAAAGACATTACATGTAAAGCAGCAGGTAGTGCTTTATATGTTTTTTTGTATGTTTACTCATTGGTTGAGAAGTGTCATAGAGGCAGTAAGGGAACGTCAGATCCCCTGGAACTGGAGTTACAGGCACTTGTGAGCCAGAATGTGGATGTTGAGAATTTAGGCCCAGGGTTTCCTGGAAGAGCAGCCAGTGCTCTTAAACACTAAGCCATCTCTCCAGCCCTGATTTCTGCTGAGGTTATTCCTCCCAGCGCCAGACAGGAAAGAGGAAGTGGGAACCGACAGAAGCACAACTAGAGATTATGGGCATCATTCCTGGCCATGCCTTAGCTTTAGTTTTGTGGCGCATCTGTCTTTGCTTCCATGAAAGAAATATAAGCTCTAATACGTGATTTTGGACCGTAGGTGTTGACACTCCAGGGAGACGTGAGGTATGGAAAAACGCTCATTACCGATGATGGCACCTCTCTTGGCGCTGGTTTCCCGATTGGCATAGCTGTTGATCCTGCACGTGGGTGAGTGATATACCTAGTGGCAGTATGTGTCATGACCCAGTCTGATGGAAGTGCCCTGTTAACATTTCAAACCGTAGGGTATGTGACATTTGAACAGTGTAGGCCCCAGTGAGGAAGAGCAGTAACTCTGGATGGTGTTGAATGGGAAGGAAGCAATCTGTGTCTTCAAGTTCAAGCAAAGAACGCTTAATGCCCCACAGGCAGGAATTTCAGGATTTAAACAATACAAGACGGAACAGTACATTCTGACTTAACAGTCCTTAAAGCCTGAGTAGATGGGCAACGTTACCATCCCATCTTCAGTATCCATGACATGTAGCCCCCAGATAACAGAATTGTAGAGACACCAGCAGAGCACTGGTTAAACGCTCTTCTCCGTGGCATGGCCCTCCTATGTTTCCTGTTTCAGGAAGCCCTCACGTTTTTGGTCTTTTTTTTTTTTTTTTTTCCATGGTTCTAGGAAACTGTATTGGTCAGACCAAGGGACAAACAGCGGGGTTCCTGCCAAGATCGCAAGTGCGAACATGGACGGAACATCTTTGAAAGTTCTCTTCACTGGGAACATGCAGCACCTGGAGGTGGTCACGTTGGACATCCAGGAGCAGAAGCTCTACTGGGCGGTCACCAGCACAGGCGTGGTATGAGTGGCTCTAGCTCCTCACTACTGGGAGTGTGAACCGCCGTGTGTTTATGGACGTGTAGCTCGAGCCAGGGTCTTATTACCGCCCTTCCTCTCGACGGTCCTCTGCTTGCTTTAGTCTTGCCCTGCATTTGTTTCCAGCATGTTCGACACTCCTTACAGAATGATGTTTATGTTTCTCCTGTAAAACCTTCGGCTTCATTTGGGATAAGTTGTCACCGCTTGCCATTTCTTACTTGTCCTAGCTCAGCAGCTAAAGACATGGTCAATACACACGTGAGATTTCCTCTACTGATGATTTTAAACTCCAAGAGGGAGCTCCTTTATTCTGCCATAAGTGCACTGTAAGGTTCCATTTGAGACTTGGCTTTTGCCGCTATGTCAGTAATCTTGACAAAGGAAGCGCTCAGTAATAGTGATGGCCAGATTATATGTTAAACATATTCTGGACTTTAGATCACTGATGCTGATTTAACTCTAACAATCATGCAGTAGTCACCAGATACGACCCAAGTTTGATCCCTGAGACCCACTTGCTAAAAAAGAGTATTGGGTGCTCTGACCTTCATATATGCATATGGGTGGTACATATACCCATACCCAAACACAATAAAAACATGTAAGGCTAGCAACACATATGTAAGCAGAATTCTTGTCCCATGGTGTAGTCTCTGCATACAAGTTAGTATGGTCAGACAGGACTCATCAGCTCCCTCCCTCCCTGGACTGTGCCCACTCTGTCCTCCTGAACCTGTGAGCTTTATACCCTGCCTCTTAAAAAAAATACTTCTCCTTATTTAATCATCAAAGGTCCATGCTTTTTCATCATTAATCTGCCCAAAGTCCACACTTCTGCTGCTGCCGCCACAATTCTGAGCCCTCTGGCCATGAGTGGAGTTGTTGGCTACCATCCCACTAGAAACATGAGTTCTTCTTCATGTTTTTCTAAAATGACTGTCTTTGTGAAACCACAGTTGCCAGGTTTGATTTTCGCCCAGTTGAGAGCAGCTGGCCTGGAGAAGCTGCCTCAGCGCTTCTCTCTCTAGTCACTGGCAGCCTGGAGGTTCATGATTTTTTTTTTCTTTATTCTAGACTTTTAGAATTTCTGTCATTTCTGGCATATAACCTTCTGAGTTCCCTCATCTGTGAGGCAGTGAATTACCCAGACCTCTCTGTCGGCAGTGCCCAACTGGGCTGCTAGTGCAAAGAAAGTGCAAAGTGACAGGCTTTGGACCCAAGTTAAACCTTACGACCCCCCTGTACCCTCTCCCCCTGCCGAGCAATCTACTTGTTTCTCGGTGGACAAATGCCATTTTGGCTTCACACCATAGTGCCATGCTTGGCTCTCCTATAGGACAGTAGGGCTGTCCTATAATTCTGGGGGGACACAACTCCTAATCCTGATTAAAGAAATTGTGGATAAAGATGTTACAGCCAATGTCTGTCAGCTGCTGTATTGGTGGTGCGTGCTCAGACATGTCTCTACATCCTTAAGTGTGCTGTGGATTGGTGAGCAAGTCAGTCAAAGGCAAGCGTACTCTGCCCAGTTCCATAACAGGCATGAGAAATCTGAAGGAAGGGTCGAGTGCCACAGATGGGCAAGAGAACGTTCATTTAAACATGTTCTTATTTCATTCCCTGCGACTCGGTGAAACAATGAGTGTTCTGGTCTTGCAGATCGAAAGAGGAAATGTGGACGGCACAGAGCGGACGATCCTGGTCCACCACCTCGCCCACCCATGGGGTCTTGTGGTCCATGGCCCCTTCCTTTACTACTCTGATGAGCAGTATGAGGTCATTGAAAGAGTCGACAAGTCCTCCGGGGGCAACAAAGTCGTCTTGAGAGACAACATTCCGAAATTGAGGGGCCTTCGGGTTTACCACCGACGAAGTGAGTGCTTGTCGTGTGTGATGTGTGTTTACACGTCTGCACACTCACATCCAGAAGCCCCTTTCCTGGTACATACACAAGTATGCAGAATTACTTGGAGTATTTGACAGTTAAGTGTCAATGACTAACCTGGCATCTCAAAGGCCAGAATTTCCATTCTTTTCTCGTACTTTTATTTTTATTACACAATTTATTCATTATATATCCTAGTTGAAGCCCCTCCCTCAACTCTCCCAGCCCCCCCCCCCCCATGCTGTCCCCTTCCCCTAGTCCACTGAATGGGGGAGTTTTCCTCCTCTGCCATCTCATGTCTCATCAGGACTGCCTGGATCCTCTTCCTCTGTGGCCTGGCAAGGCCGCATCGCCAGAGGCAAGTGATCAAAGAGCAGACGACCGAGTTCATGGCAGAGACAGCCTCTGCTCCCCTTATTAGGTGACCTACATGGAGATTGAGCTACCAATTGGCTACATCTGAGCAGGGGGTCTAGGTCCTGTCCATGCATGGTCTTTGGTTGATACGTTGATCTCTGCAGGACCTCTTGGGCTCAGATTTTTTTAGCTTTGTTGGTCTCTTGTCCCCTCCATGTCCTTCTATCCGCCCTTCTTCTGTAAGACTCTCTGCACTCTACCCAGTTTAGCTGTGAGTCTCAGCCTCTGCTTCAATCCCCTGTTTGGTGGACCTTTCAGAGAACCCTCTATAGTAGGCTCCCATCTATTTGAACACATGAGATTTTTTTTTTTTTAATTTTTATTTTTCTTCTGAGTCTTGGTTTCTCTGTGTAGCCCTGGTTGTCCTGGAACTCAATATGTAGATCAGGCTAGCCTGTGAGATCCCACCTCTCTCTGCCTTCCCAGTGCTTGGATTAAAGGTGTGTGCCACCACAGCCCAGCTCTTCTAAGGTTTCATACTTAGTCTGCTTTTACTTTTTAGCATCCATCAGCATATTATCTGTTTTTTCATTGCCCATGTTTCTTTTTGTAATAGAGCCTCTATGAAGGGCAATTGCTTCTTTTGTTTTGTTTATTGCTCTATGCCTAAGAAAAAGAAAAGTAGTTGTTGCTGAGTTTTATCACAGAATTTTTAGTCTTAATTTTTAGTCCACCTGTAAGACAGTAAGATATCATAGTAAGATACAGGGTCTTACTGTGAGTAAGATCTTGAACTCTGACTTCCAGGATTTTATTAGCTTGATAATATTGAGTTTCTTTTTCACTTTTGACAGTTTATAGTTTTTAATATCTAACCAAAGGGAACCAACTATTCTGTTTCTTAATTGCTTGCATTTGATTAAAAACGTCTTTTAAGTATTGTTATCCCATAGGTTGAAAGGCAAGGGGCCAAAAAGCCACTATGTAGATTTCTTTCATCTTGAATCTTTGCATGCTTTTTAGGGAAGGGAACAAAATAAAAAGCAGCAATGCTTCATTTTCTATCTGCTCTGTAGTCCTTCCTTCTAGTGCTATTTGGGGGCTTCAATAAATTCCTGTCTTTCAGCATGGGTTTTAACCTGCTTATCTAGTTATTATGTATTTATTGTTTTTATAATAAATTGATTGACTCAATTTTAAAAAAATGAGCTGGACAGCCAAGCACATAAGGTTACAGACTGATTTTGGATTTTTTTTTTTTAGATGCTGCTGACTCCCCCAATGGCTGTAGCAACAACCCAAATGCTTGCCAACAGATCTGCCTGCCCGTACCAGGCGGAATGTTCTCTTGTGCCTGTGCCAGTGGGTTTAAGCTCAACCCCGATGGTCGCTCCTGTTCTGCATATAGCTCTTTCATCGTCGTTTCCCTGCTGCCTGCAATCAGAGGCTTCAGCTTGGTGTTGTCTGATCACTCCGAGGCCATGGTGCCAGTGACTGGCCAAGGTATGGGAACTCCTAAATTAGTAAAGCTTGCTTCCATCTGGTGACAGCTTCAGTGTGGCTGAGAAACCTCAGTTCATCAGAATCTTCTGGAGGGCTATCAAGCTCAGAGATGAGCCCAGTCCTATCCCTGGAGTTTGCTCACTTAGAATTCTGGATTGTGGCTAGAGAATCTGCATTCTAATGGGGCCAGATTTTTCTGCTTCATGAGAGTCACAGGATTAAAGGGATATTAAAGCATAGCAAGGTTTTCATGAAGTGGTACAGAATGGTTGTTTAGGAAAATTGTTCTGTAGTCATGTTAACAGGGTATAGGCTGAAGGTAACCTATTGTTTAACATAATAATGGCAGAATCCACAATATATTTTTTGAGGTTAAAGTCTCATTATGTAGCCCTGTTTGGCCTGAAACCCATTATGTAGACCAGGCTAGCCTTGAACTCAGAGTTCTACCTGTCTCTGCCTCCTAAGTGCTGGAATTAAAGGTATGTGTCGCCACACCTGGCTCTTAATAATCATATTTTTAAATGCACTTTATGGTTTTGTACTGTGAATATATAAACAATACCTTTTGGATTAAGCCAAGGTGTGTGGCAGTTAATGAGAACATGAAGAACCAAGGGTTTTCTAGCACCATAAGGAGTAAGCAAGAATATTCCTGCAAGGATACTTGTTTCAGAAAACCAAGGGTTTCTGGTGGAACTCAGTGGAATAGTGCTTCCTTGCTCGGTGGTAGCGTTAAGGGCCATGAATTTGCTCCCCAGCATTGCCAAACCACCAAACCAAACCAAACCAACCACAGAAAGGAACCAAACTTAGAGGGCATAATACTTTACAGGGTGGTGTTGTGTCCTTGACCTGGAGTCTTCTCAGAGCGCATTGTCAATAATTGAGCAAAGGTGTTCACCCTGAGCCGCTGCTTTGTAAAGAGGCCCTTCTTCCCCCCCCCCCCCCGCCCTTGATTATCTATTATGTTTGACCTGGGCTCCATGAAGAACTTGCTTGTTCCCTGAGCAGCTTTTACCGTTGGCTTCAGCAGCTGCTGGTGATCCCGACTGCAATGCTCTTCTATGGTGATATTCTGGTTCTGTCATTCTTTCACATTTGTTGGCAATATCCTTCCCTAACAGGAAGCTCCAACACTTGGACTCAGGGTGTTTGGTTTATATGTGTGTGTGTGTGTGTGTGTGTGTGTGTGTGTGTGTGTGTGTGTACAAGTGTGTATATACTCACGCAGAGTACGGAGAGTAACTTTGATCACTGTACCCTTTATTTATTGAGGCAGTGTCTGTAGATGAACCTGGAACTTATAATGGGTGGGGCGGTGGGCCAGGGAGTTGGATTTTAGTGGGAGAGCAGGTGAGTGGTAAGAATCAGTCTTCCCAGGGATGAGCCTCCCCAACTGGCCACCGAATAACACTATAGGGTCAGTGCATATGAACAACACTCAACAGACTCAGCAGCTCAAAGTTATATATTTACATGTTTGGATACATGTAGTAATAATAATAAAAATGATTCAGAGGAATAGATGAGTAGACGAAGATTAAGAAGCAGAGGAAAGGGAACAGTAGAGAGGAGCTGGATATGATAATAGGGGATTAAAAATTATAATGGAACACGTTAGTTTGTATAATTAATGAATGTTCAAAAAAATGGGGGAAAGGAGATTTCGAAAGTGACAGCTCAGGTTGGCTGATTTCTCTCAAATGTTCTAGGACGAAATGTTCTGCATGCAGATGTGGACGTTGCCTCCGGCTTCGTTTACTGGTGTGACTTTAGCAGCTCTGTGAGCTCCGCTAACGGAATTCGTAGAATCAAACCCGACGGATCCAATTTCAGCAACATTGTTACCTATGGCATAGGAGCAAATGGAATCCGGGGTGTGGCAGTGGATTGGGTAGCAGGTACGTGATCTGAAGCTTCATGTTTTCATCGCTGTATTTGGAATTGGTTTTTCTAGACAATCTATAAGATCAGTTAAGACTAGGCTATGCACTTACTAAATAAAAAGATGAAGGGTTTTAGTTGACAGATTAATTATGGAAGAATCATTTCATTTTCTTCTATTTTTATCCAATCAAGCAGGAAAAATATTAAACTGTGGGTTTGTAGTTTTTGTCCTAAGGTTGACAGCAAATTTCTAGATTAGAAAGATCTAAAATTATGAAGAGGAAAGGCAATTTTAGTTGCAGATTCTTAATCGCATCCTTGTTAGTAGATAAAACAGGTGTGTTTCTCTTAGTTATTGATGTGCCTAGCTCAATGTTTCATTGACTTACTCAGGTTTGAAATATCTTCATTCTTAACAGTCCTCTGAGAAATATTTCACTACAAATTTTGGGAAGATATTTTTAATAAAATGGATATCATTGTATATTACTGAGCTTGATAAGGAGACATTGCTTAAATCTAAGCATGCATTGTAAATGGTAAATATAGTAAGTAGCCTTGCTAACCAAGCTCTAAATGGCTTCCTAATTCCAATTCCCCATTAAAGAGTACTGGTTTTGGTGGTGTGGATCAGTGGGGCTAGCACAGTACAGCCAGTAAAAAAAAATGTGGCCCATTTTCTGCTTTTGTACATACCATGGCCATTCATTTGGAGTTGTCACTGGCTGCTGTCGTGTCACAATGGCAGAGTTGAATACTGGTGAGAGAAATCATATAATTTGGCTGGGTATGTTGGCCTATGCCTGTAGTCCCAGTACCGGGGAGAGAAGGCAAGAGTATTAAGAAAGAATTAAAGGCATCCTCACTTACGTAGTGAGCTCCAGGCAAGCCTGGCACATAGGAAACCCCATTTCACCAACCAACCAACCAACCCATATACCCCACAAGCCTAAAATTTAGGCACTATTTGACAACCCTGGATTAAAGGAGATGAGTACATGACACATCACCAGCAACACCGCATCTCAGATAGAGAAACAACACACAAAAAACAGTATCAGTTACATATTGGACGAATTTCTCTGGATATGTGTGGAGGCAGATTGGGAAACAATAGTATTGAGAGTTCAATAACCGACTTTACATGGAATCTGTCATTCAGGAGCCAGCGTTCTCTGCTCACCAACCTGCATTCATCTCATACTATTTCACAGGATTAGTATGTTATTTTAACATTTACATTTTACTTGAACACAAAAGGGAAGTGGATTTTGGGTTTGGTGGGTTTTAGGAAGTCAGTGGGTAAAACATCTACACAAGTTAGCAATAGAAAAGACCATGTTAATCTTACATACAAAGAACATTTGATGACATGTATAGCAATCTGAGGTGCTTGTGGGTGTCCTTTCTGCCTTTTTCAGGCTGTAGTACACTTTATACCATGGTAAAGTGTATTTGGATTATTTGATTCATGCTTTGAGTAGAAGAAAGAAATGCACCTCTTAGTGAGAAGTGAGTTGGAATGCTGTGATACTGGCTGTGAATCTAATATGAGTTAAAAGGAAGCTGAAGTTTTTTGAGAAAATGAAAATAAATATTCCCAAGCATAAATTTTTTATAAGCTTACATTGAGATTCATTGTCTTGGAAAGACAACATATACTGATCCCACCTCAACCTTACATGTTTTATTTTGAAATGGTATGCCCCACCCTCCCTTTCCCCCCACAATTTACCAGCATTCTCTCTCTCTCTCTTTTTCTCCCTGTAGGAAATCTTTATTTTACCAATGCCTTTGTTTACGAGACACTGATAGAAGTGGTCCGGATCAATACCACGTACCGACGTGTTCTCCTCAAAGTCTCAGTGGATATGCCTCGGCATATTGTTGTGGACCCCAAGAACAGGTATCTCTTCTGGGCTGACTATGGGCAGAGACCAAAGATCGAACGCTCTTTTCTCGACTGTACCAACCGGACTGTACTGGTTTCTGAAGGCATCGTTACACCGCGGGGCTTGGCAGTGGACCACAACACTGGCTATATTTATTGGGTCGATGACTCCCTAGACATAATCGCCAGGGTTCATCTCGATGGGGGAGAGTCTCAAGTGGTTCGTTATGGTAGTCGTTATCCGACGCCTTACGGCATCACTGTGTTCGGAGAGTCTATCATATGGGTGGATAGGAATTTGAAAAAGGTCTTCCAGGCCAGCAAAGAACCGGGGAACACAGATCCGCCAACAGTGATAAGGGACAATATCAACTTCCTACGTGATGTGACCATCTTTGATGAGCAAGCCCAGCCCCTCTCACCAGCAGAGCTTAACAACAACCCTTGTTTGCAAAGTAATGGTGGGTGTTCCCACTTCTGCTTTGCTTTACCTGACCTGCCTACCCCCAAATGCGGGTGTGCCTTTGGGGCACTGGAAAATGATGGCAAGAGCTGTGCCACTTCGAGAGAAGATTTCCTCATCTATGCCTTGAATAGTTCCTTGAGAAGTTTACACTTCGACCCTGCGGACCATAGCCTGCCTTTCCAAGAAATAAACGTGGAAGGAACTGCCGTCGCCCTGGATTATGACCACAGAAACAATAGAATCTTCTTCACCCAAAAGTTAAACTCTACCCATGGCCAGATTTCCCATGTCAGCCTGTATTCAGGGGCCACCTCCCCAGCTGTCCTGCTTTCAAGTAAGTGGAGATTACCTTGGCAGTAGACGCTGGAGGGCAGCATACTGAATATTCTTATTGCACTTTGCGATTCTAACACCTTCATATGAGCATGTGTCTCTCTACTTCTGTGTATCTAGATATAGGGATTACTGATGGCATTGCCTTCGACTGGATAAATAGAAGAATTTATTACAGTGACTTTTCAAATCAGACGATAAATTCCGTGGCCGAAGATGGATCTAAGCGTGCTGTGCTAGCCCGTGTTTCCAAACCAAGAGCGATTGTGTTAGATCCTTGCCGAGGGTACGCCAAGGCCTTCTTGATTCATCTGCTTATTTGAGGATGGGAGTGGGGGCTAGAAATTACTTTATGTGCATCGAGAATAGTAGTAATGTTATTTACTTGCACAAAAGCCGAGCTTTCGGTGACTTACCTGGTCCGACTTAGTACGTCCATTTTGGCCATGGAGCATGGAAAGGAATGGAGCTCTTCTTTGCTTACCTATATGTTGATGGTTATTTGCAATTAGAGGTTGTTTCCACTGTAAAAAGTGAAAAGGTCTTGAGAAGCTTCCTTGTCGTGAATTAATTATGACTTCTGTTTGATAACTAGGTACATGTATTGGACTGACTGGGGCACCAATGCCAAAATCGAGAGAGCCACACTGGGAGGAAACTTCCGGGTACCCATTGTGAACACCAGCCTGGTCTGGCCCAATGGGCTCACTTTGGACCTCGAGACCGACCTTCTCTACTGGGCAGATGCTAGCCTGTAGGTGTCTCTGAATTATGTGAACGTTGAAACATAGAGGGACTTGCTTAATGTGATGAAAATTTGATAAGCCAGAGAGATGTTGTCTAAATGTAGAATTAAAGTTTTCAGGACTATTTTATGTTCTAGCTTGGTGGCTGGAAATTTGTCTGCATCCTAAGACCTCTAAATCTGCATTAGTACATGTACCTATAACTATAACGGAGCCACTCAGTTTCTGACTATAGGCCTCAGATTTGAATAAGGGTTTTGGCCCCCTTTTCAAATCAGTCCTTTTTCTCTGATATGCTTCTCAGAAAATGTTACCCGAAAACTGCCTTTCAAGTGCTTGTAACATAATTATGGGATATCTCCAGGTAGGCACATTATAGTCATCCTGATGGAAGAGTTCAGGGGACAGAATGATTTTGCTCATTAGAGTTGTTTGTCTACACATGCTTATTTCCTTGCAGAGTTTGGTCTTGGGATGAGACAGTTCTGATTTTTTTCCTTCATTCTCTCATTTGAACCACAGCAGCGATGTCTTGTGTGTCATCCTAAGTAAATTCCTCAGAGTAATCAATATCAGTAAAGGAAATAAATTCTTTCTATTTCATTGCTGTGTTTCATACCAGGCCCCATGTGTCACATGATTTTTTTTCATGGATTGCTCCTGCTTCTAATGTTAGCCTGGCTCTTACTAAATGATTTATGTAGGCTGTCACTGGGTAAGCGGATAAGACTTACCATCACCAAGAAACACATGTCACGCACCGCGTATGTGTGCACCGCTTGAGTAGCCCTTGGAGGCAGGTCTAGCCATTAACGCTTCTTCCTCCAGTTTAACAGACTGCTTTTTCTTCTCTTGGTTTCAGGCAGAAAATAGAGCGCTGTGCCCTCACGGGCACGAACCGAGAAATCGTGGTCAGCACTGCCTTTCATTCCTTTGGCTTGACTGTCTATGGCCAGTACATTTACTGGACAGACGTCTTCACCAAAAAAATCTACCGTGCTAACAAGTACGACGGGTCAGACCTGATCGCGATGACCACTCGCTTGCCCGTCCAGCCTAGAGGCATTTCCACGGTTCGGAAAAACCAGCAGCAGCACTGTAGCAATCCTTGTGATCAGTTTAATGGAGGATGCAGCCACATCTGTGCACCAGGTGAGGGGTCGAGCAGGAGGAAAACAAGTATTTCTTGATTTCGGCTTATGTATCAAATGGAGCCCGAGGGTTACGTTTTCAGAGAGCTGTAGTGGGGGTTTCTGTTCCGTTGTACACGGACTGGTTTTGCGAAGGCAGTGTAAGTGGAAGCTTGCTGGAGGGAGAGAGTGAGACGGAGGGTTTGGCTTTCTGACTGAAAGAGGAGTTGCGTTAACGCAATCTTTCTGTTCAGGAGCTATCATTTCTACTTTGATCTTGTAGGGTGAAATACAAGTCCCATTGAGGACAGCTTCATAGGAACAGGTACTTCCTGATGATAGTTGTGTCTTTGCGGATTTTTCCTCGAATCGTTGTGCTGTAGATGGGCAGTAGCTGTTTTAATGGAAGAACAGCTCAGAAGGCAGCTGGAGGGTAGATGTAGTTCATCTAGCTCTAAGGCGTCGTAAGCGCTGTTCTTAGACTCTGGAGGAGTCTAAGCAAGGTTCCTGTGCTCACACTTTGTTTCTCTCCGCCCCAGGTCCGAATGGAGCTGAGTGTCAGTGTCCCCACGAGGGCAACTGGTACCTGGCCAATGATAACAAGTACTGCGTTGCGGACACAGGCACCCGCTGTAGTCAGTTCACCTGCCTCAATGGGCGCTGCATTCCTGAGGACTGGAAATGTGACAATGACAATGACTGTGGTGATGGCAGTGATGAGCTCCCCACCATCTGTGGTAAGCTGGACTCAGTGGTTTTTGTTTGTTTGTTTGTTTGTTTTGTCATTGTGTGGCTGTTTGGCCCAGAATCCTGATGTGTATGGACGGTTTTTCCAGTAGGGCCAAAAACATCCACTCTGATAACCCAGGCTGCATTCCTCTTTAGCCACCTCTGTGTATGTGAGTAAAGTCATTAGATTGAAATCCTGGTGTGAACATTTGTAGTCTCTGGGCAGGCTGGAAATATTTCCTAGATGCAGGTAGTATGAAACCTATAAAACCGAGTAGTTGCCAGAGATCTTATAAGAAGCTGTGCTGCACGACATGGCCCCACCAGCATTTTACTCCATTGTTCCTCACTGTCCATCCTCAGTCTTTGTGTCATTGGAGTCAGACAGTGGATTTTCCATGGGTTTTGAAGTTGAGTACCTTCCTCAGCAGTGTCCTTCTGCTTGCTCTTCTGGTTTTTGAGATAAACTTTAGAAGTGAGATGATGTGCGAACGGAGTGACTTTTTCATTTCTCACTTTTTGTTCTTTAAATCTAAAAGTACTTTGCATCCGGTCTGATCTTCAGGCATCCCTGTCTCAGAAGGGAGACAAGGCGTAGATGTCTCCTTTCACTGCCTTGTCTCCCCCCACTCCCCCAGCCTTTCACACGTGCCGGTCAACCGCCTTCACCTGTGCCAACGGGCGGTGTGTCCCGTATCACTACCGCTGTGATCACTACGATGACTGTGGCGACAACAGCGACGAGGCAGGCTGCCTCTTCAGGAACTGCAACAGCACCACGGAGTTCAGCTGCAACAATGGGCGGTGCATACCCCTCAGTTACGTCTGCAATGGCATAAACAACTGCCGAGATAACGACACCTCGGATGAGAGAAACTGCCGTAAGCATAGCTTAACTCGGGCCTTCGGGGTCCGAGGTCCCGCTTTAGGATGCAGGAGGTGAAGTTTTCCCATCAAAACTGTCGCCTTCTGAAAAGAAAATCATTTAGTTGTTAGAGTCAACCAAATGATTTTTAAAATACAACTACCTAATCTTGAGTTGTTGGCTTAATTTATGGATCTGTATATAGCTGCTAGATTAAAAACTCACCTTATGAACGTGTCTCTCCACTGCCACACAACCAACTTGGGCCTCTCTTTGCCACCATTAAGATGAGCTGTAACCTTTCTGCTTTCTTTGAATGTTCCTCCCTGGGGTTTGAACCGGCTCTGGGTCTGTCAACACCAATGTTATTCATGATATATTTGACAGACCTGTTCCAAACGTGTATGTGGTTTTTATTTATTTTATTTTATTTTTTTAAAGCTCCCCGCACTTGCCAGCCTGGATTCACAAAATGCCAGACCACAAATATTTGTGTTCTCCGAGCTTTCTTGTGTGATGGAGACAATGACTGTGGAGATATGAGTGATGAAAACCCCATTTACTGTGGTGAGTATGACAAAAATGCCTCACTGTGAGTCCAGAGGAGGGACCAGGCATCGTGAAAACGGCCTTTAATGATGAAAGCTGTGTTTGGAAGTAGGTGTGGAAGGCAGTGGCTTTAAGATATTAGTGGAGCGGTGTGAGATGTCTCATGCCTCATATTTTTCTGGAAACCTGTTATTACTCAAGGCCCTTTATCTGCAAAACTTATACACAGAACTTATATCTGTGCTGACAGAAGTTATTACTTCTGAATATTGTGGTAGTGATCTCGAGGAGCTTACTTTGTAGTTTAACAATTTCCTCTAATAAACAGTGGAGGTGAAAAGGTCTTTCTTAAGCTTAATAACTTGGAGAACAATAGTATGACTGACCGGAAGTATCTTTTAAGAATTTATCAATTCCTTGTAGTTGAATTTCTGATCTCACTGTGAGGAAACAAACCACAGGCCATCACAAAAATTTGCCAGAGCGGTAATCATGTCCAACAGCAGCAGAAAGAAATAATTCAGCCTGTAGCATCTCAAAGGGTTGGGCAGATTGGAGTTACTGCTTTCCTAACAACTGTTCACTGGCAAATCCATCAGCTATTGTGGCCCAGGCAAGGGGGAACCTTGTAGAGTAGAAGGAAAAGACTTTATTCATGATAAAAATTTCACTCTAGTATTTCAGGAAGCCTGGGAACGATTTCCCTCTTGTATCTTATGTTCCTCCACTCCCATAGAAGCTCATAGAAAAGACCATTTCCCAAGCCCCAGCCTTCCTTTTCCGGCAGCAGTTAACCAGTCCAAAGATCCAGGCAGATGGGCAGCAGATGGGAGCCTGCTTGTGTTTTAATCTTGCGCCTGTCCTCCAGCCTCACACACATGCCGCAGCAATGAGTTCCAGTGCGTTTCCCCCCAGCGCTGTATTCCCGACTACTGGTACTGTGACGGTGAAGCCGACTGCTCCGATAGCTCTGACGAACCTGCCACTTGTGGTAAGAGTCAGGAGCCATGCTTCCGTTGGTGTGGGTGGTGGCTCGCTCTCCCTGCTCCTGGCTCCCAGAAGGGACGCCAGAACTATTTGGTAGAGAGGCTAGTGTGGGCACTGCGGGAGCTGCTGGGAATATGGAGGCTGCCTGTTGAGGCAGCCAGGATATTGTCCGGCTTGCAGAGCTCGGTTTTAGCTGACTCTCAGTTGAAGTTTTTGAATTTAAGACTGTAGGAGGGTCTAAAAGTGACTGGGTTCTTCACATACACAAGGGGAAGGGCTCAAAGCAGGCACACTTTTTCCCCCCCTTCCTATGCCAGTTTGGGGAGTGAGGTGCCCTGGTCCTCTACATGGGGTGGTTGTTATGTGTATTCAAAGCCTGCTGTTTACTGCCACAGAGTCTAGGACATATCCATACATATTCATTATAAGTCACTGTCAGCATTCAAAGACCCAATTCCTGTATTGCTTTTTTAATGTGTCAGAAAAAATCATTGCTATGTAGGAGCTAGGAAAGTATGGCCGCAGACCAGTGACTATGGCTACTTTCTCGTTTCCCATCTCTGGCTACTTTCTTGCTTCATGCTGTAATGCCAATCCCAAGTGGGTGTGACAAAGCCTGGAGCCCCAAAGCCACCTCAATATTTACTGTTGAGTTGGGAAACAAGTCTCATTACTCTTATGTATAACTTTCATACTTCTCTTTAGTGATATACAGTATTCCAGCGGTATATTGTTAAGCATTTAATTAATTTATTTTTCTTCTATCATTGCACTATCATATGCAAAGCCCTTTGTCTGCGGCATCATTAACAGTTTTAAATTCATGCTGGTTTCCATTGAGTGCTGGGAAGTTTCAATCTATGGCTGATTGCTAGCAGTTCTCGACCAGGTTTTTTGTTTTGTTTTGGTTTTTTTTGTCTTTTGCTTTTGTGTCCTCACCTCAACACTGAAAAAAGTAAAAGGCAGATCGAATTTTGAGGGTCTGTAGAGAGAGGAAATAATAACTGTTAGGTGAGTATATACATTTGAAGTTAATTCTAATGCATGCTTAACTGTTTAAATATATAAATATGTATTTTCAAACCAGTCACAGCGGTGGGAATTAGTACTGAGTGTGCAAGTTGTGTACTGTGCCTCCACACTGTAGTTACCCAAGGAAGAGGGCCCATATGTGTTCTACTTCCCAGTTTCCCCCGAATCTTTGGGCTGTGATAGGCCTCTCACTGGGAGCTTTCTCTGTGTCTCTGACAGTGTTGACCTACACAGCATATTGCTGCCCTGTTTGTGAAATCATTTGTAAAATTGTTTCAAGGGTTCTGACACCTGTAGCATTTCATGTATTCCTGATGTACACGTGAGTGAGCTTCTCAGCGACGCCAACAGCGTGTGAATGACCTTGATAGAGGCCACCAGGTAGGCATCCCCGTCTTTTCATTCAGAGTTTCTCCCTTTTCAGGGCCTCATGTGAGCACCTGTTCAGCTAGCGAGTTCCAGTGTGACAATGGCAGGTGCATCCCCAGTAGCTGGATTTGTGACGCTGATAATGACTGCGGGGACATGAGTGATGAGGACCAGCGACACCACTGTGGTAAGTGAAGGCGGTGAATTCCTCCGTGGCTTCCCCTTCCGAGGAAACTCAGAGCTGGTTTTCATGCCTGGAGGGCCCGGTTGTCAGAAGCTTCCTGTGTAATGGAACGCCCATGAGCAGAAGGCGAGCTTTATTTTCTGCTGCTCATTGTGCACCGCTTCCATGTTTCACAGTGGGGCAAAGTGACTTGGTGTTCGTTTTCATTCACATTTGTCTAATGGAAATTCTGTCTTACCTTTCTAGAGTAGGCGAAGGGAACTCAGTTGGTCATTCCCCATAACGGTGTGACAGCTAATCGCCCTACGAGCTATGGGATTTGGGACATTGTTGTAGTCATCAGTGGATTACCAAGTATTGTTTTTTTTTTTTTTTTTTTAATTTATACAATGTATTTTGATCATATTCTTTCCCCTCCACTAATTTCTCCCAGATCCTTCTTCTTCCACCCCAAAGCCAAACCAAGCCAAAACACACAACCCCCCCCCAACCATATTGTTCATTTTGTGTTGGTGAGGACGGCTCTGGAGTGTGGCTGACACACCCAGAGTCGCTCCATTGAAGAGAGCTGATTCTTCCCCTTTCAGTGGGAAGAGCTTCTGTCTGCCTCATTGCTGTGTGTGTAGAAAATGCTGCTTTCTTTAAGTCATTCACTGCCTGGCTCTCTTCTGCCTCCTCTTCCACACAGATTCTTGATTTAGACATCCCACTCGGGGCTGAGTGCTGCAGTCTCTCACTCTCTGCACATTTCTCAGTGACAGGTCTCTGTGTTAATTCTGCAAGAAGAAGCTTCTTTATAAGGTTTAGGGGTTGAAGACTGTGATGATCAAGGGTATAGTAGTACGCCATTAGGAATCTTCTATTGCTCTATTTGTTTATTTATTCAGCAGAATATTAATTGTGGGTTTTTTCTCCAGGGCCCATGACTTACCTAGTCTTAGGTTCTTGGCTTCATAGACAGTTTCAGGTATACAGATTCATATCCTTTCCCCTCCAGCCCCTCCCAGATTTTTCCCATTCCTACCCACCCTTAACCAAGATGCTACCTGCCACCAATGCTCTACTGGTTTATGAGTGGGTATATCCACACATCCACACTCCTCCTGGCAGGCTACATGGCCAGGAATAGTTGGCCAACACAAATGAACTCAGTGGAATCTTTGCGGGCTTTTGTTTCATTTTTGCTTTGTTGGGATTTTTTTTTTTTTTTGGTCTTGGTCTTTTGTCTATTTTTTGACTCTTTATAATTTTGTTTCTTGTCATTTTGTTTGTTTGTGAGAAAGAGAAAACATAAACTTGTGATGGGATTGAATGAGACCTAAATGATTCTGAATCAGCATCTCATGTCTTTCTCCCAATGCCATACTTTCTGACAACTCTGACCTTTCTTAACTCTCCTCTTTGTTTTGGGGGAGAGCGCTGGCTTATACGTATTTAAAAGCCTCAACTTGAGAGAAGAAAGGGCTCTTCCAGCAGTTAGACTCTTCATCCCTCTGGCTGTCTGACTTTCAGATGCCCGATTGACCATTTTGAACTTCAGTTTTCTCACGCCATCAGACTGGCACCAAAAGAGAAATCTCCTTTTGTGCTTGCATGGGTACACATGGAAAATGAAGCATGTGGTTAAAAATATAAGATATTCAACTCAGGTGAATCCTGCTGAAGGAGGGGAAGGAAGGACTGGGGAAGCAAGAAGGGTCAAGGATGCCATCAGAAAGCCCGCAGAACCAACAAACCTGTACCCATAGGCTCATTGAGAATGAACTGACAATCAAGGAGCCTGCATGGTTCTAACCTAGGCCCTCTGCTCATATGTTAGAGCTGTGTAGCTTGTTCTTGTGGGATTCCTAACAGTGGAAGCAGAGGCTGTTTCTGACTCTTTTACCTGCTTTTGAGATTCTTTTTCTCCCAGTGGGTTGCCTTGTCCAGACTTAATATGAGGAAGGTGCCTAGTTTTACTGCCACTTGACATGCCATGTTTGATTGATGTGCCTGGAAGGCCTGCCCTTTTCTGAAGGGACACGGAGGTGGAGTGGACTGAGAAGGGGGAAAGAGGAGGAAGGAGAGGAGAGGGAAAAGAAGACTGGGAAGAGAGGAGGGAGGGGAAACTGTGGTCGGAATATAATACGTGAGAGAATAAATTAAAAAAATATATTTGTTTACATTTTTAAACTGGAAGTCTTTTTCCGTAGCCTTATGGAAAAATATGTTTTTATGTAAATCTTATGGTAAAATTAAGTGGTGTTTTTTTTTTAAACATTTATGTTTTTGCTTTTGAAAAACCCAGACTCAAACAATGTAGACAGAACTTTTAGGAGGTATTTATAACATTGCCTTGCTCATATGATTTATCAGAGTGCTCAAGATCATAAAACAAGAGCATTTCCGAGCCCTCAGAGAGTCTTGTCTGCTTTGCTTTCAGAGCTCAAGAACTGCTCCAGCTCTCAGTTTACCTGTGTAAATAACAGACCTCCGAGCAGGAGGTGCATTCCACAAAGCTGGGTCTGTGATGGCGACGCAGACTGTGAAGATGCCCTGGATGAGCTGCAGAACTGCCCCACGAGGACCTGCTCTGCAGGAGAATTCAGCTGTGCAAATGGACGGTGTATCATGCAATCCTTCAGGTGAATTGCGATTCAGACATGTCCGTCTGCACCCCGAATATTCACGGAGGGCAGGGCTGACTTACACATTTGCACAGTAGTCACAGGACCTAGCACCCACGATGCTCTTGGCTATCCAAGGAAATGTTCGGATTCCTTTGAAACCCAGGTCAGAAAGCTGTTTTAATATACAACATATTAATGCACGTCTTTTATCGATGTGGTTATTTATGTTTTTATGGATGTCACGGTCCAAAAATATTGGACCTAGAATTCATGAAAGCCACATGTTGCATTCCATAGAGGGACAGAGAAATGAGTGGAGGTAACTAGACATTAGTTGGTGCCCCGCCTCCTTTTTCACTCGGGGGCAGGCATGGCTATGAGAACTGCTTCTCTCTTTGCTCTCTGCTGTAAGAAAAACAACAGCTCCAGCAAGTGTGCTCGAGGTCAAGGCAGCGAACGTTGTTGGATGTCAGGTGGGAAGGCCAAAGCTTCTGGGAACCTTTTGTTTTCTTTGTTAAGCTGGAAATACGGATTCTCATGTAGGACATTTAAAATTCTAAATACTGTGTGTCTCAAATAGATTCAGCCCACAGTTAGCTGCTTTGGAGAATTCTGTAATTCCCGGTGATATGGTTTCTTAACACTTTCTCTAAATGGGTCTTTTAGAATGACTTTTGTTCTCATAGTGCCCAGCCTCTTACTACCCTATGTAGTAAGTCTTTGGCTATAGAGGGATAAAGAGACCAATAGAAGCCTCAGTCAAAACAAAGCAACCTTGAAAAGTGTTTGCTGATGGGAGAAGGTATGTGATGTTGTAGAACTTTCCTGGATGAACGTTGGTATTAGGCATTTGGATACGTGAAACAGAAACAGAGGTATTGGACCCAGTCAAGGACTAAAAAGCACAAGGGGCCACTGAGAACACCAGGAACCATCAGACTACCATGGCTAGGGAAGGAGATCGGAAGGTCAGAGCAGCAGAGGCCTGGGGCTAATTGTTACAGTGGCAGATGCCTGTTAATAGATCCTGAGATATGTCTGGAATACAGCATGGCCAAGATTTATATATGATGGTATCTTGAAGAGGAAAAAAAATGGTTAACTCATATGCTACAAAGGTTGAAAAAATTACCAGTGGGGTCTTAGCGTACTGACCAGTGAGTGACAGTCATGAAGAACAGGTATTTGTGGGTCGTTATCTGGGCAGTGAAAGTGAGGCATCTCCTTGTCCGGTTGAGAGTTCTGTTCTAGTATTCAGGAAGTGGTCCATACCATCACTCTTAGGTGAGAATACGCTCTGAAGACTTTGTTCTGACTACACCCCGGGTTTGCCTCTGCCTTCCTTTCTAGCATCTCGCTGTCCCCGTACCCCTGGCTGCCCAGGTTTCTCACTGACGTTGATCATCTTTCCTCTTTTTCTTTTCTTTCCTCCCCCCCCCCCCCGTTATCCTTGCATTTTCTTATTTCTTTCTCTCTCGGATTTATTTATTTTTATTTCTGAATTAGTTTTGGCAGTACTATGGCCAGATAAGAAGATAAGGTGAAAACAAAATAAATGACTGTTCTCTGGAAACCCGGGATAGAGGGCCCAAATTCTGTCTATCCACATGACATCAGAAATGAGCGTGCATCGCCTCGCTGAGGGTGTGGTCCCCATCTGGCACTATCCCATGGGATAGTTTTCTTCTTGGTGCATTGCAGTGGTGCTCAGTGAGACTGAGTTGTGGCAGGAATACTTGCTGGAATAATGCAGATGTGCCTGGATTTGCTTGTGTTCCATGTCCCTCCTGAGTACGAAGTAAGCTAGATAAGGGAAAACAGTGATCATTTGCGAATCAATGGAATTTCTGGAGAGTCAAGTGGGCTAAGCCAGTTTGCTTTGACCAAGGCTTTCTTCATACATGTAGGCATATATTTTAGGTTCAAAGTGTATTGTCATTACCCTGGGCGTGTGGATGGCAGCTCTAGTTCACAGACGCGGTCAGTGCACAGTTGTAAAATCCACTGAGTTTGTCTTTGGTGCCTTAATATCTCATGACACTCTGCCCCTAGCTCCTGGCTCTCCTTCTACTGTTTAATGAATTATCAAATATTAGCAATGTCTATATCTTAAATCCCGTTGTACATATGATGAACTGTTACCATGACCCTGTTGCCTAAGTGTGGCCTTTTATGGGATCTTAGACTTTCTAGAGAACACACGCTGGTGTGACCCGTAGTAGCTCGGGTAACTGTGTCATCCTTAGCAACCTGGGAATGTTAGGTACTGGAACTAGGACTACAAGATGCACACTTCCTTTGCCAGTGTTTCTTGCTAGTCTACCGCTTTTAATCTCCTTCCCAGTACCACAACTAGCTCACATAGTATGAAAGTTACCAGTGGAATTATATGAAGGGGGTCTGCCAATGTAAACATTACTCCAGTGGGAAGACAGGCGTTCTGAAAAGACACACCCAGCAACAATTCTGTAGGACACAGAACTCATGCTAAGGACGTCTGATACAATGTGTCCATCTGGGATGGTTCCAGTGTCCATATAGTTATCCCAGGATTACAAATATATGAATCATGTCCATTCGCCCTATGAAAGAGTGGTTGAACAAATCTGTAGCCACATTTATTATGTAGCCCCCAGCACCAGGGGAAGCGGTGTAGACTGCCAAGTCACAGATTGCTCCGGAGTTGGAGATTGGTGGGGTTGGTGGATACTTTGATGATGGAGGGCAAAGGCATTGTTAAGATGGTCAATGTGGTCCCGCGCGTCCTAACGCAGGTGTGACCGGCGCAATGACTGTGGGGACTACAGCGAAGAGAGGGGCTGCTCGTACCCACCCTGCCGTGCGGATCAGTTTACCTGTCAGAACGGGCGATGCATCTCCAGGCTGTTCGTCTGCGATGAGGACAATGACTGCGGAGATGGGTCAGATGAGCAGGAGCATCTGTGCAACACCCCGGAGCCCACGTGCCCCCCTCACCAGTTCCGGTGTGACAACGGGCGCTGCATTGACATGGGGAAAGTCTGTAACCACTTGGATGACTGTTCGGACAACAGTGACGAGAAAGGCTGTGGTGAGTGCAGGAGAGGGGGACTGTGTCACCTCTCATGCCTTTAAGGTCTCTCAGGACTCTTGGTATCTGGTGTTGAACAATGTTCAGGCCGTCCTTTAAGAGGATTCCTCAGTAAGGCATACAGAAGGAAAAGACCATGGTGGTTCTCAGAGTGAGTTCTTGCTTTCTCTTCGTTTTCATCCCTTTCACGCGGACAACCAAATATAAGGAAGCCACCTAAATGAATTTTGAGTGTTTGAGCTTCATACTCCCCATGGTTCATACTCTTTTTGTGGTGTTTATTCTTGGTTGTCCTTTTCTGCATGGTGGCATTCCAGTGGCAAACATTTAAATGGTTTAAAAGCAGAGAATGTGTGATTTTGTTTTTCTTTCTCCATTGCTCATTGACCATTCTCATTAAATACATTTGCCAAGTTGACTCAAAGTAAATGGGTGTATGTGTGTGCATGCCCAGAGAAATCCAGAATGAAAACGCCATGAATATTTGGGGAATTATAATATTCATTTATTATTTGCTGAGGTGTACAAAAATTTTCTTAAGTTGTTGTCAATATTTTAAAAATATAAAATTTAAATATGGCATGTTTTACTTAGATAACACACATGCATATAGTATTATGAATTTCTAATATTTAATTTCAGTGGAGATAAAGTTCCATGCATTATGTTGTTGTTGTTTTTTTTTAATCTCATTTGTTTGTTTTATTTTGTTATTTTAAGACTGGGCCTCACTTTGTAGCTCTGGCTGGCCTAGAACTCACTATGTAGACCAGGCTCTCCTAGCATTCATAGAGAACTGCCTACCTCTGCCCCCCAAGTGCTGGGATTTAGGACAGACATCAGCATGTGCTGATTTTTCCTGAGTCTGGATCTTACTGTGTGGCTCAGGTAATGCTCTTCCCTCAGGCTTTGAAATTGCTGGGATTACAGGCTCACAGTGCCATGCCTGGTGCTCTGTAGGGACCAAATCTTCTGTGGTGCATATCTCAATTGTAGCGCTCAGTTTGAAAAGGGAATTATCTCTTACAAGCCTCCTACACATCCAGGCTCATAGCCAGCAGGCTTCCCGAGTATACATTATTCCTTTTGCACACAATAAAACTAGCATCTGGCTAGAAAACGAAATTCTTCCGGCTATGTGGTAAACTGGACTTGTGATAGGAGTAGGCTTGACTGATCATGGGTTTTGTATCTGTCATTCGTGAATAAGTATGTGTCCTTCTGGTTTCAGGGTGGGCTTGGCCACCTGTTACAGTGTCAGTGCTATGATGTACCTAACCGTGAGCTCATCCCACCCCATAAGGCAAATGTATATATCACACCGGTAGCTTGAGATTCGGCAGGGTGCGAGTATCACACCCCTGAGACGGAAGATGTTACAAATGAGCACACAGGGCCCTCTCTTGTCTTCTGTTTCTTCTCTGGCCATTATGTTTTTATGCTTCCTGAGAAACGGCACAGTGTTGTGTGACCAATGTCTCAGCTACGTGGGGGACGAATGCAAGATGAGAACTTTAGCTTAGGGTTCAAAACTCTGTCTGCTTGAAAGTACTAACGCATTAATTATTAAAATCTGTGGTGAAGGCCAAAGCTGTGTAGAGAGTGCTTGCATATCTGTATAATTTTGTTCAGATGACTGAACAACCCGGAACAGCCTATGGTCGCCATTAATGCATAGCACACCGTGAATACACATATATACAGACGTGTGTATACAACTTGAATACCTAAAAATGTCAATTGTGCTGTAAACTTTGAAAAGAACATTTACTCTGTTGCACAGAAATTAACAGCCTTATGAGATGAGAAACTTTAAACTTAGTTTTCCTCCAGTTTTAAATATATTTATACAGTTTTAAATGTTGATGTCCTCTTTAAGGGGGTTTGATTATAGAAACCTAATAAGGCGTTCTCTGAATAACAGGAGAAAAATTACTAAGCCGGGGAAGAAATTGAAAAGTTACTGACCTTTGAACAAGCCATTTGGTCTCTTTGAAAATCCCAGTAGCCTGTGTTCTTTTGTTATGATTTGCTAAGGATTGGCACTATCTAGTAGTATATTGATCTTGAGTGTAATTGTGGGCCTACGGGTGCCGTTTAGGTTCTCCAGTAACTGTCTCTTTGCCTACAGGCATTAATGAGTGCCAGGATTCCTCCATCAGTCACTGTGACCACAACTGCACAGACACCATCACCAGCTTCTACTGTTCCTGTCTCCCCGGGTACAAGCTCATGTCTGACCAACGCACCTGCGTGGATCTTGACGAATGCAAGGAGTCACCCCAGCTCTGTAGCCAGAGGTGTGAGAACACAGTGGGTTCCTACCTTTGCAAGTGTGCCCCCGGCTACATCCGTGAGCCGGATGGGAAGTCCTGCCGGCAGAACAGTAACATCGAGCCCTACCTCATCTTTGGCAACCGTTACTATCTAAGGAACCTAACTACAGACGGCACGTCCTACTCCCTGATTTTGCAAGGACTGGGGAATGTCGTGGCCCTGGACTTTGACAGAGTGGAGAAGAGGCTGTACTGGATCGATGCACAGAAGAAAATCATTGAGAGGATGTTTCTGAATAAGACAAACCGGGAGACGATCATAAACCACAGGCTGAACCGTGCGGAAAGTCTGGCCGTGGACTGGGTCAGCAGGTAAGAGCACCACCTCAGGCTCAGGTGCTTGCCTGCTGTCCTGTCTTGGGAAAGGTTGCCTTGTTGTTGGCCACCACGTGCCGGGCTATCTGGCCTCGAGACATCTCTCCAACCATGTGATTTCTGAAAACGTTAAAAATTCCGATTTTCTTTTTCATGGAAATAGGGAATTGGCCCTTCCAACTTGGGTATGTGGAAACATTTTAACAGCCTTTTCTGTTTCCCTGTGCCCTCTTTTATTTGATAAAAGTGCCATGTGACAGCTGTAAGTGTGCCTCTCAGGGAGGCTCAGACAGGAAACTGGGTGTGTAAACCCAGTGGCTAGAACGGTAACACTCCTCCCCCCTCCCCCGTCTTTCCATTGCAGAAAACTCTATTGGTTGGATGCCTTCCTGGATTGCCTGTTTGTCTCTGACCTTGAAGGTCGACACCGCAGAATGCTGGCTCAGCACTGTGTGGATGCCAACAATACCTTCTGCTTTTCAAATCCCCGGGGGATTGTCCTTCATCCTAAAAATGGGTATGCCCCCCTGCCTTCCCCTCCCCCCCCATAATTGTGCACCTTTTCCAGCTGTTCAGTAGTTACTTATGGACCAATATCTTGCTGGAATGTGTCTTCTGTTTTCCTGCGTGATGAATAGCGTGGGTTAGTGCAATGAGTAGCAATGATACCTTGACTACTCATAGTTTGAGTTGTATGAATCGTGAAAGATTGTGATTTCTTTAGTGGACTCTATATCAAAGCCACTAAAATCCACAATGGTTCGTTTCAAAGACCACTTGTACACCAGCCTTATTGTTTTGTATATATATATATATTTTTTTTTTTTTTTGCCAGTTCCCTTTCCTTTCTGAGAGAGCTCTTCATTCTCTAAGTGGAGGACAGCTATATCTTTTGGCATCAGGGCCTGAACCCTCTGTGTTTGCTCCCACAGGCATGTCTACTGGGCAGATTGGGGTTATCAAGCATACATTGGGAGGGTTGGCATGGATGGAACCAATAAGTCTGTGATTATCTCCACCAAGATCGAATGGCCGAATGCCATCACCATCGACTACACCAATGATCTCTTGTACTGGGCGGATGCTCACCTGGGCTACATTGAGTATGTACCTTGAAACAAAATCTAACTAAGTTACTAATTATAAAGCAGCAGGGCTGTGTCCAACTTGTCCAAGCACTCAGAGATCTCTTCTGAGATCTCTTCTCTTTTGTAAGATGGGGTTTCATGTATACCAGATCAGCCTCAAGCTTTCTGTGCCTCAAGCTTTCTGTGCTATTGTCTATCTAGATAGGGAAGACAGGATAAAAGGAGGCTAGTGAATTGACTCAGCAATTAAGAGGGTGTACTCTTCTGTAGAGGACCCCAGTTTGCTTCTTTCTAGTGCCCAAATGGAATGGCTCATAATACCCTGTAACTCCATCTCCAAGGGATTGGATGCCTCTGGCCTCTGAAGACATCTGCGCGCGCGCACACACACACACACACACACACACACACACACACACACACACACTATTAACCCATAATACCCATACCACTGGTGGAACTGGTGAGTCTGTCAGTATCTGTGGCTAGTCCAGTTTTCAAGCATAGCCTTTAAGCTTTTATGTCACTTGTCATTGAAGTTTAGGTGTTTCTTTCACTAGAGACTCCGAGGGGTAGAATGTTCTTAGCTGACGGGTTCGCTCACAGATGCTGGAGAACATTGGAAGAGAAGGCTTACTTACACGCTCTTCTTCCTGCCCCCAGATTCTCTGATTTGGAGGGTCGCCACCGGCACACAGTGTATGACGGGACGCTGCCTCACCCTTACGCTATGACCATTTTTGAGGACACTGTTTTTTGGACAGATTGGAATACGAGGACGGTTGAGAAGGGACACAAGTATGATGGGTCAGACAGGGTAGTGTTGGTGAACACAACGCACAGGCCTTTTGACATCCACGTGTACCATCCGTACAGGCAGCCAATGGGTGAGTAGGCGATGGTGGACTCGAGTGCGGTTGCTTTAGCGAACAGGATTTGCGGGGAGCTCACCGATACTTGCTCGTGTTTTCTTTGAAACCCCCTTTTAATAATGAAGAGTTCATTTCCCTGCTTACGAATCAAATTTACATTTTGCAGTGTTGGGATAGAAGCCAGGGCCTTGCACATGCTAGATGAGCACTCTACTGTGAGCTAACATTTTAAGCTCGTAGCTTTTGGACTACGAGCTCAGGCTGGCCTTAAACTGGCAATTCACCTGACCCTGCATCCTAAGCCAATGGCAGGTGTTTCCCTAGTTAAACAGCAACCAATTTCATCCCTAAATAATTTGAAAAATAAGGACATTCTGTATCTCTATCAGTATGCAATTGTAGCCACTTTTAAGTTACCCCTTAATAACAAAATAAAATTTAGAAGAGAACTGTAGTCATTATGAAATATTTTTTAAATGTCTGCATATGACAGCTTTTTTTTTTGAGTCACAAAACATTATTATTCTAATCTTCTAAAAAATAATGGTGCTGGAAGAGCACACTCCTTTTTTTCTTTGTGAACTTTTATTCTGCTTCGTGCAATTAAAGTTAATTACTCCTTTAGAAATAATGTGGAAGAGAGTTGGAGTATACTTTTTGGGGAGGGAAAATTGGCTTTTCTGGGTCTTCTTTGTTGTGTTGTCTTGCTAAAAACACCTGACAAACTTAGAAGTAAGGAAAAATGAGAATTATCACCATAATGGTATTCAATATTTCTCTCTGAATGTTAATATTTTTAATATGGTCTTACTGGAGGTTAAGTTTATCTTTGCCTCTAAGTGGAGACTGAGAAACTTTAGACACCACACAGGCTCTTCACACATAGTCCTGGCATCCAGACTTTAGTTGCCTAAGTCATTAGGATGAGGAAGAATTGCTATGACAGTGTCTGCTGGGAATTACAACTCATAGTTGAAGTTTGGTGCATGCATGAAAGCTGTGTTCTTGTTTACTTTTCTAGGACTTGGAGGAACATCAAAACCACTCTCTGTGTTATTTAAACACATATGGAAAATGATAAAACTAGTAGCTTTCTTTTAGTTAAGAGCTGGCAAATCCCATGTCCAGCTGTGTGTGTAGCTAATTGGTATTTGACACTCAAAGCACCTGACCACGAGCCCACGTTTCTTTTTCCCTTCTGTAGTGAGCAATCCCTGTGGTACCAACAATGGTGGCTGTTCTCACCTGTGCCTCATCAAAGCAGGAGGGGGAGGATTCACCTGTGCATGCCCGGATGACTTCCAGACTGTGCAGCTGAGAGACAGGACGCTCTGTATGCCAATGTGCTCCAGCACACAGTTCCTGTGTGGCAACAATGAAAAGTGAGGCGCCCGTTCCCTATTTCGCCTCTCCTCGCCCCACCCCCCGTGGGCACACATTGACCTTGGAGACTCCAGAGAGCGGGGAGGATGGGGGGGGGCGGTTCTTTTCTGATTTTTGAGATGGATTCTTGCTGCGTAGTTCATACTGGCCTAGAACTCATTATGTGGCCCACACTGGGTCCTTCTCTTTCAGCCTTCTGTGTGCTGGCGGTGTAGGTTTCCATCAACTGAGCTTTTGATGGAGTTGTTAGGCTCCTTGGTGGTGTCACCAAACTTTCTGTCTAGATAAGATCTTTGAGTAAAAAGGACCGTGTTAACCAAAGAGATAATGCCTGTAGCAAACAAAACAGTGCTTACTAAGACGAAAGCTATTTCTGATTTCTAATGAATTTCCTGAGGATTAGGCTCAGAGTGCCTCTAAACATTTTGCTCTTTAGTTACCATTGCCGAGGGGTCCCTCTGTTGTGTCAGCCTCAGGGGGAATTCAATCCAGAGTTGGGTGGGAAGCAGTGGTAATGCTTTTAGATCGATCTGTTTCCTAAAGAAAATTTTATTTTTCTTTACATCTGAATGAACCCTGTTTACGTGTGCCATCTTTAGTTCTCAATAACTGGTTTCACTGTCTTGCCTTTGTAGATAGAGCAGCAATAAATAGATGTTCAAGTATCTCTGTGGCAGGATATGGAGGCTTCTGGGTATAGGAGAGGAGTGGTCTAGATGAATTCTACTTTTAATTTTAGAAACTGCCATCCTGGCCCAGCAGCAGTGAATCGGGGCTCTTCTCACCTCCATCCTTGCCAGTATTGTTCACTGGTTTCTTAATGCCAGCCATTCTGACTGGGGTTTTATGGTATCTCAAGGTAGTTTTAATTTGCATTCCCCCAAGCAAATCCAAGGGATGTTGCTTATTAGCCATTTATGTTTCCCATTTGTTTATTGTCATTTTTGCTCTTTGGGTGTTGCAGTTTGTTGTAAATTCTGGATATTAGACCAACATCCGAAGTGGAGCGGATACAGACTTTTCTCATTCTGTGGACTGTCTAAAGAAGAAATTGTCCCATTTTTTTTTTTTTTTCTATTTGTTAAAGCTTGGTTTGTGGTCCATGATGTAACCAATTTTGGAGAAGGCCCCATGTGATTTTAGCATTTATCTGTCATGACATAAGCACCCAATAATCCTTAGAGCCTACCGACTTTCCAGAAAATACTCAAATGTCACCCTTATTTAGGTAGACAATCATTCGCTTCTGAAAGCACAGCTCAAAATTCCATTCCTCCCCTCCTCCCATCACTTAGGGTTCAGTATCTAATTCATTGCTCAGTCAATGGCTCTCGATGTGTTTCTTTTATTTTTCAGTTTTTATTTTTTATTTTTTTTCTTCACAATTTATTCATAATGTATCCCGATTGCAGCTCTCTCCCTCACCTCCACCCCCCAGTCCCACCCTCTGTCCCTCTCTCCTCTATCTCCTTCCCCTATTCCACAGAAAGAAGGAGTTCTTCACTATTGCCATCTGCCCATAGCTTGTTAGATCATCAGGACTGCTTGGATCCTCTTCCTCTGTGGCCTGGCAAGGCTGCATCACCAGTGAACACATAGGCACAGGAGATAGTTTCCTGAACAGAACACCAACAGGTGTTCTAAGATCGACAATTAACAAATGGGACCTCGTGAAACTGAAAAGTTCTGTAAAGCAAAGGACGCTGTTATCAAAACGACAGCCTACAGACTCAGTGCGTCTCTACAGGCCTTACTTTCTCCATGCAGGTGTATCCCCATATGGTGGAAATGTGATGGGCAGAAAGACTGCGCTGATGGTTCTGATGAGCCAGATCTGTGCCCACACCGCTTCTGCCGCCTGGGACAGTTCCAGTGCCGGGATGGGAACTGCACAAGCCCCCAGGCTTTGTGCAATGCTCGCCAGGATTGCGCCGATGGGTCTGACGAAGAACAGGCTCTCTGTGGTATGTTGGGTTCCTTTTTGCGATCTTTGCCCATTTCTGTAAATTGATTCTACAGAATCAATCCAAAATCAGGTTCGAAAATTCTGGAGAAAAGTTAGGGCCCTCTAATAGCGGTTTGGAATGTGAACTTCTAAGGTCAATAGCAAGTTGTCTAGACAGTTTTCCACCATGTGCAGAATCCTCCTTGAGTGGACGTTTGTAAAAAAATAAGGAATCCTTCTCACCATTTTAAATGAGGATAGCCTTTTCCTTTTTATTAAAAAGGTCCCCCAACTACAAACCAAAAACAGAACATCAAGAGGAGCAATAATCAGAAACTTTGAAGAGCAGTAAATGATAGAAGAGCAGAGTCAGGGGAAGGTGTGTTTAGCATCTGCTCCCCCATTCTGTGTGAAGAAAAAGATGTGTAAGAACTCAAGAGTCTAATAAGAGCCCATTAGTTATTCTAATGAGAACAACCCTCCATGTAGTCACCATTGTTAGCAAGAAATACGCTAGCATATAAACCCTGTGAGAGGAAGTTGAGCTGGAATTCTCTCGCTTTGGGTGCTCTGCTCCCACTCCTGGCAGCTTCTTGCCTGGTAACCAAATGGCCCTGTTTGCAGAGCATCACCGGTGTGAAGCCAACGAATGGCAGTGTGCGAACAAGCGGTGCATCTCGGAGGCCTGGCAGTGTGACTCAGTGGATGACTGCTTGGACAACTCGGATGAAGACAGCTCCCACTGTGCCAGCAGGACCTGCAAGCCCGGCCAGTTCAGGTGTGACAACGGTCGCTGTATCCCGCAGAGCTGGAAGTGTGACGTAGACAATGACTGCGGAGATTACTCGGATGAGCCCATCCATGAATGCAGTGAGTTCCCTGGGGCGGGCCGTGCAAAACCGAGGCAAGTGGACGGGCAGGCGGGGACACATCCCTTTGATTCATCCCAAGAGAAGGGAATACCCTTTCTTGGCTTGCCCTGACTTAGTAAGGAGTTTATGACCACAGCCACTTTTATAAAGGAAAGTGGGGGAGGGGCTGACCTACAGTTTAGAGGTTTAGTCCATCATCACCATGGCATGAAGCACGGTGGCATGCAGGTGCTTGAGTTCTACATCTGGATCTTCAGGCAGCAGGGAGAGTGATGCTGGGCCTGGCTTGAGCATCTGACACCTCAAAGCCCATCTCCATGACACACTTCCTCTAACAAGGCCACGCCAACTTCCACAGGGTCACACCTCCTTATAGTGCTGCTCTTTCTGGGCCTAAGGGAGACACTGTCGTTCAAACCACCACACGCCCCTCGCACTCCAAACTGCACTGCAACACTAATGAACAGATCACACCTACCAAAGATGCCCACTGCCAGGGTCTGTAATTGTCGATCGCCAGCACCACGTCCTCTGTCTAACCATAGTAAGGAGCCTTCTCGTGCTGTTTCCAGCAAGACTGGCACTTCCGTCCTCATGTCTTGCTTTCTTCATCTTCAGTGACTGCTGCCTACAACTGCGACAACCACACGGAATTCAGCTGCAAGACTAACTACCGCTGCATCCCACAGTGGGCGGTTTGCGACGGCTTTGACGACTGCAGGGACAACAGTGATGAGCAAGGCTGTGGTAGGAAGGGCGCCAGGGGCGGGGGAAGGGCAAGAGAATGTCCGTGTCAGGCCCTGCTCTCATCCAGATAGGTTTTCCATGTCTTTTACCTCTTAAAAAAGGCGTCTAGAGTCATTGGGGGAGCTTAATTCATGTCATCTCTAGTGACATCTGGCTCCAAAGCATGTGATATGTTAAAGGAGATATCATTTCGATCTTAGGAACATGTTTCATTTCTCCCAGATGTACAACCCTTGTTCATACATGACAGGTCTAAGTAGCTTGTCTGACCTCACAGATGGCAGAAGGCGCAATATGCCTCAAGAGATGTTTTCAAATCTGGATGTATTATTTCACGTCCATTGTTGTGACTTTTGCAATCAATTATTGGGCAGCTATAGTCACTTTGGCAACATGAAAAAAAATTATGGACAAAAGGCCAGACAAGTTAATTGAAATTGTTGAAATAGGTATATACTGTCTGTTGAAACCAAAGTATCTGAATGTATATTGTTTAGAAAAGAAAAAAAGATAATGAGAATACACACACACACACACACACACACACACACACACACACATTCCTTTTTGATTTTTCAAGACAAGGTTTCTCTGTGTATAAGAGCCGTGGCTGTCCTGGAACTCTCTGTAGACCATGCTGGCCTCTAACTCACAGCGATCTGCCTGTCACTTCCTCCCAAGGGATGGGATTAAAGGTGTGCACCACCATGACTATAATGGGTTATTATAATAATGCTGGGTCTAAAACACTAAGGACGATGTAATAGAATGTTCTATTGGCTCTGTTTTAAGCCTCTAACAAACAATGTTTTAGCCTCTTGTTCCCAATTACAAACTTGATGGCATTTTTTACTTTTAAAATAGTTTCTACAAAAGGCAGCCAAGGCTACACAGAGATACTCTGTGTCAACCCTCCTCCCAAAGGTAATAGATTTGTTTTCAAGATAGGGGTAGAGTTAGCTAACAGAGGGCATCCCTGTGTCTGGCCGCTTCAAGAACGCAGCAACATAATTCTCAGACTGTGTCACAAGGAAGCCAGGACCTTGGCTAACAAAGTCTTGAAAATGATTGTGCTTTGTAGAAGCCGTGCCATGTGAACCTACAGGGGATTTCCGGTGTAGAAATCACCAGTGCATCCCTCTCCGCTGGAAATGTGATGGCTATAACGACTGTGGAGATAGCTCAGATGAGGAAAACTGTGGTGAGTGTTTAGGATGACCCTAAGAGCTGCCAGGACTGGGATGTCAGTTCCTTGAGCCATTTCCTGTGGGCTATGGAAGTATATATTTTCCTTCTGAAATTCTAGTAAGTCAAGCTTTGGGAGAAGGCATCTGTGAAGGCATATTTGATCAAGTCTACTTTTGGTCTGTTGTGTTTATTTTCTCAACTTGTTTTCCTTTTTCTTTTTCTTTTTTTTTCTAAAACAAATGAGATGATTTCTGACAAAGGATGACAAAGATAAGATGAATAAAGCCAAAAGAAATAAAGTAAGGAAAGGTGCTGATCCAAAGGACCTGCATTGAAACCTTTTTCCTCTCCATGGTCCCAATAGCAGAAGGAGTATTTCTGCCTTTGCGTGGTTATCCTTCCTGGAGTAGGTGGTTCTTTCAGTGGAAGGTGTAATGACTACTAGCCATGTGACCTGAGCCTGAGGAAGGAAGCTATCAGTCTAGAACACACCAAACTCAGTATTCAGTTTTGAATGATGCTGTGTTTGGGGAATAAGCCCTACCTGGGCGTTTATCATTGGCTCAAGATATAGCTTTAATTTCAAGTTATTGTTCAATTATATCTTTTTCAGATTTAGTTACCTTTTAGAAGAAGTCCTTAGCCTTGGCCAGAGGCAACTGGGAGAATTAGGGTATTGATTACACTGGCAAAGACTTAGTATACAAAATGGTGGTCCAGGTGGTCCTTCCCAGCCCTGTATGAGTCAGAAGGAACAAGGCCACAAGTGCAAAATCTGCTTGGATGATACTGTGGAGTTAGTTCAAGGCCAGCCTGGGCAACTTGGTGAGACTATATATATAGTATGTAGCTCAGTGGCAAAACACTTGTCCTTCATGGATAATGCCCTAGATTCTACTACTCTTACATGAACAAAAAGGTAATAAGGAAAGTTCCTGTTGAATAGTGTAATTGGTTAGCTAGAGTTTTACAATTAAAGCACATTTAAATGAGCCTCTTTAAGGCCATTCTTGATGGACTTGAAACTGAGGCAGAGGATGGTTTCTTTGCTCTATTTTTGTTGTTGTTCTTTCTTTCTTTCTTTCTTTCTTTCTTTCTTTCTTTCTTTCTTTCTTTCTTTCTCTTTTTTATTTCTTTCTTTTCTCTTTTTCTTTCTTTCTCTCTTTCTTTCTTCTTTCTTTTTTGAGACAAAGTCTCACTATATAGCTCTGGCTGTCCTAGACCTCAGTATGTAGACCAGGCTGGCCTCTGGGAATAAAGGCTGTGCCACCACAATCAGCCAGGCATTGGATTTTGTTTTAGAATGTGACTGGATCCCAGCCAGGCCAGATCCCTAGCCTGCCTCCTGAGTGGGATTCTCAGTGCACATTGATGGCCAGGTACCTTCCCTTTCAGTTCCTCGGGAGTGCACCGAGAGCGAGTTTCGATGTGTCAATCAGCAATGTATCCCCTCTCGGTGGGTCTGTGACCAAGAAAATGACTGTGGAGACAACTCGGATGAACGGGATTGTGGTAACTATCAGGGGCATGCAGAATCTTACATTGTCTATAAGGTTTTTAGTGTGCGATGACATAGGCAAATTTTATAGTATTAAAGTTCCACCTAACACGATATCTTCTGTGTTTTCAGTTCTCCATGTTTAACTTATGATGCTCTGATCACAGTGACAGGATAAGCAAGGAGTGATGTCTTTAAATCTCATTTTAATCTAGACGTTACCTTGAAGCAGACTCTCATTTCCATGTGCTTCCAGATCAATACATTAGTCTCCCTAGTTTTCCACAGAAGGTGACCCTGGGGTAGAGGGCAGAGCATTGGAATAGACACTCTAAGTATTGATTAAAGGCTAGGTGTGGGGGAAGTCATGTAACTTTGAAAATTAAAGAACTATTGTTTGTATGTGAGGAAGAAATTCAGAGCTGAGATTAGCTAACAGGGCGATAGGAGTGTTCATATTTATATGCTGAATGGAGAAACTCAATTCTGAGTTCGTCTGCTTAATTGATGGTAGTGTGAGTTTGCTATGAGTCAGGCACAGGGTGTGGGTAGAAAGAGAATGATAGCCTCTGTGCCCTCCATGCTCCTAATACCATGGGATCCTCTGGGAATCATGATCTTTTCTCTTCAGAGATGAAGACCTGCAGTCCTGAACATTTTCAGTGTACAAGTGGACATTGTGTGCCCAAGGCACTGGCGTGTGATGGCCAAGCAGACTGTCTGGATGCTTCGGATGAATCCACTTGTCGTAAGTGTCTGCCCGCCTGCCGGTCTGTGTGCCCGAGGGAATGGGAATGTCCATTTAGGCACGAGCCATTTGTTAGTCTAAAAGCATAAGTATATTCTGTTTGGCCTTCTGATACTTTTTGGTCTGCCTGAGTCATTATTTCCCAATGGACTCAGGATCCCTAGTTGTTTGCAGTGGCCATTCAAATGCAAATTATTTAGCAATATTTTAAGTAGAGAGTATGCTAACAAACTATGTGTTAGTCAGTATTATACAAGTCACTGATTGGACAGAAGCACTTCAGGTGAAGAAAGCTCAAGCCATGAGTGAACACATAGAAAGAACGTGGATTGGAAGTCTGCAGCATTAAACTGTTCTGAGTTGCATGATGTTGTGTAAGACTCATCAGAAATGTGAAACAAATAAAACCCCTCCCCATTTCAGATTTTTGTATCACTTAAATATTTAACTATCGATAGTTGTTTACAATGGACTGCTGATATAATTGCCACTTCCTAAAGTTCAAAAAGATACTAAGAAGTGATGGGGAAAGACAGGTGGGAAGTGGCCCGGCATGGTAGCCCCTCTGAAATGAGTTGCATCACTGAAAACTGGGCTCGGAAAACTGTCCTCAAGACATAGCCCCTCCGCCTTTTTTGTTTGTTTGTTTCGTTTCAAGACAGGGTTTTTCTTTGTAACCCTGGCTGTCCTGGAACTCTTTTTTTTTTTTTTTTAATATTTATTTGTTTATCTTTATTTTATTTGCATTAGTGTGAGGGTATCAGATCCTTTGGAATGGGCATTACAGACAGTTGTGAGCTGCCATGTGGGTGCTGAGAATTGAACCCGGGTCCTTTAGAAGAGCAGAAAGTGCTCTTAACCAGTGAGCCATCTCTCCAGCCCCGTCCTGGAACTCTTAGACCAGAGTGGCCTTCAGCTCACAGAGATCTGCCCACCTCTGCCTTCCTAGTGCTGGGATTAATGGTGTGTGCCACCACACCTGGCCAAAGACATATCCCTTATTTAATCTCTAGATAAGACACAGCAACAGGGTAATAAATAATGAGACACAACAGCAAGAGTTGAGGGCGACCTACCAGGAAGGGTACGTTTATCTCATAATTTTTTTTCTTTTTGGTATGTGTCCACTTCTTATCAACAGCTACTCGCTTTCCCAATGGTACCTACTGCCCAGCTGCCCTGTTCGAGTGTAAAAACCATGTGTGTATCCAGTCGTTTTGGATCTGTGATGGGGAAAATGACTGTGTCGACGGTTCTGATGAGGAGATTCACCTGTGCTGTAAGAGGGGCCAGGATGGGCTGAGCAGATGTTGTCTCTGTCTGGAAACATCTCAGTGCTCCTTAGACGCAGTGTGTGGGCTTGGAGGGCAGTTGTGTAATTCTGAGGCCACATGGCTACACAATCACTACTGGTGATTTCACTTGGTCTTCTTGCTTCCGTTCCCCAGCTAGAGCTTGAGGAAGGTAGGTTGACACCAAGATTTTAAAGACATAGGCTGTAGCGAATACGGATGGAAACATACACATACGGGACAAGTCCCTTGAGGTTGGATCCTGAGGAGGAGGAAGGGTAAATTGTAGCTCACCTGCTCCATCCTTGAAGTACCTCTCTCCCCTTGTCCTCTTGGAGCACTTGTAGAAAACCTGAAGGCCCACTCCTTGAAACCACTTCCCTTTATATAATAATTCAATGCCATCATATATGTACTTTTTAAAAAAAAAATGAGAGGATTCATTTGTGTGTGGACAGGCCAGAATTACGCTATATGTTCTGGCTTGGTTTAAGCCTACTGAGGCAGAATCTGTAAAGATCAGGCCACTTTAAAGATTTTTTTAAAAATGTGTGTGTGGGTGTTTTGTCTGCAAGTATGTCTGTAACACACCCCGTAGTGTTGACTGAGGCCAGAAGAGGGCATGAGAACTGGAACTGGAGGTACAGATGGTTGTGAGCTTCTATATAGGTGCTGGGATTGGAACCTGAGTCCTCTGGAAGAGCAGCCAGAGCTCTTAATCTCTGAGCTACCTCTCCAGTCACCATCACTACTTTTTAAAAGCCCCAGAGCTTTTTGGATTGGTCCCTGGTTGAGAACTATTGATTTTCATAAAGTGAATGCAATTACAGTTGTTTCAGGTCAGTAGTGAGAAGCTAGTATATTAATCCTCACAGCGTCTCCCTTAGGCTGGGAATGGTGGTATCACACGGGAAACACACAGTCACAGGCTTTGCGAGGTTTAGGAGGCCCAGGAATCTAGTCAGGAAGAAATTTTCCAAGTGAGTCAGAGGCGAGTTTCAGAAATATTTCTGCCCCAAACCTTCTGATTGTAACGAGGCTCCTTTACAGGAAGGAAGTAATATAGCTATAAGTCAATAACGCCTCCAAGTTACATCATATTTCATTCTCTTTTGTTTGCCTTCCTCCTCATTTTCAGTGCAGAGATTTGGTTGCTGGGAATGATAGCAAAGCATTTCCTTCAAGGACTGTTGTGTTTTCACAATGGCCTTCCCAGCACTGACTGGCATCACCTTAGCTGTTGGCGATTAGCTCTGCTTTTTATTTGTTTTTAACTTTATGACTTGAAATTTCAGAGAAGCCCTTAGGAAGTTGTTTCTTTCTGTAAGACAAAATAGTCCTAGCTACTAAAATTACCTTTTGGAGAGGTGGGGACACATATACACATCATTCCCCATGCTCACACAAACTTTCAACATTCTTTTCCTAATGTTTGTGCTGGCCATTCAGGCCATTCACGGCAGATAATTCAAGTAGTAGTTCCACTAACTACTTTCAAGAGTGGGCCCTGGGGTTTGACTCCTCCCTTCCTCTAAAGGAGCCTCATTACAAGTGTCATCTTTCGATCTCTATCTGCGGCGTAAAGTCAGAGTAAATTAAATTGAGCAAGGCTTCCACTTGGAAGAACAATCCAGATAGATATACGTGACATTCCCTGAGTGATGTGTATGGATGTCTTAGTTCCTTTTTATTTGTTGCTGTGATGAAAAGCAACTTAAGGAGAAAGTCTCGGGTTCCAGTCTGTCGTGGCAGGGGGTCACAGCAGCAAGAGCTTGAAGCAGTTGCTTGCGTTACACCAGGAGCCGTAAGAAGAAAGCAACGAATGTGTGCATGTCAGTGCCTGGCTCACTTTTCCACTTTCATACAAGGCAGGCTCACATGTACAACATAGCACTTTTAAGACATACCCTTCCTGCCTGGATGAAGGTTCTTCCTGCAGTTACATAGGTCACACCATATCCATTATTCTAATCGCGATAACCCTCTACAGTCATGCTCAGAGGCCCATCTCCCAAGTGATTTATCTGCTGTCTAGCTGATACATTAACACTGACCATCACGATGGAGTTCACCTGCAGACAGAGAGGTGGGTTTTCTGGGCCCATGTGTGACCCTTCTGTTCTCCCAGCTACATAAGTAGCCGCTAGATGTCTCACAGTTTGAGATATCAACTTTAAATGTAAGAGGCTGGGGGTTCCAGCACGGAATATGCACCACAGGACTTAATGCTGTAGAGAGTCAGTGACCACAATCATCAGAAGCGTGACCTCCTGAATGCTAGTATAAGGACCCACATATGATCCTGATGGCTTCTCCAGCTTTATGACTGACCACACATGTTCTCCTTGTTCCATGCCTAGCCGCAGGGATCTTTCTAGAGGTTTCAAACATACGTGTTCTTTCCTGGCTCATCTATTCCTCTTGTAATCCTTTTTTGGCCTGCCTCCCTATGATCGATCTATCTATCTATCTATCTATCTATCTATCTATCTATCTATCTATCTATCTATCTATAGTTTATATATATTTTATATGCATATATAAATTATATGAGGGGCTCCTTGTGTATATAAAGTCTGTTCTTGTTAGAATCAAGTTCCAGGAGAATAAAGACTGTGTCTTTCTTGCCCCTTTTCATATCTAGGGCATATCCAACACCTTGCAGCAGTGTTGTGGCATGTGCCTGAGACTCAAGATGTGCTTGTTGATTAATTAATCAAACGAGCAAGCGAATGAATGAATGGCTGGCGAATGAATGGCGTGAGCCTGGCACTGGGTAGCCCGAGGTTTTAGGCACGGCCACTTCTACTTTTAACTGGCAGTCTCGTTTTTCACCCTCCAGTCAACATTCCGTGTGAATCACCGCACCGTTTCCGGTGTGACAACAGCCGCTGTGTTTATGGCCACCAGCTGTGCAACGGTGTGGATGACTGCGGAGACGGGACGGATGAGAAGGAAGAACACTGTAAGCAAGCTGGGGAAAGGAGGAAGCAGAAACCGGGTTCTTAGCTGTTTGTAAGGCGTCCCTCTGGGGTCTCCAGTTGGGCTGTAGGGCTTGCTTTGTACCCATGGTGGTATACCACAGACAATACAAACGCTCACTTGGCTCAGATAACCAGCCTGCCACCTCCTTCCTATCTCATCTCAACAGGACCCTTGAGCCAGTCTTTGTTTAAGCATTTAAATAAGCTGATTTCACATTGTTTTTTTTCTTTTTTTTTGGTAAGAAAATGAGAGAAAAGACCAAATACTGGTCGAGTCACACTCCACAAGTTAATAGATTATCTGTTGTCAAGGATGAGGACTCCACAGCCTATGGTTGTTAGTTTGCTAACCTGGAATGTGAATATGCATTCCTCCTCACGCTCAGCTGAAAAGATCATGTTAAATAAGGCACCACTGGGCAAACCTAGTATTTTTCCTGAATATGGACATCCAGTTTCCAGAGGTGAAAACTGATGGGTTGTCTTTTAAAAGTGTACCGTTTTACTCTTTTATGTGTTTGGGTGTCATAGCTGCAGGTATGCGTGCACCTTGTGTGCGCTTGGTACCTAACTCAAGAAGGCCAGAAGATGTTGTTGTCAGATCTCTTAGTACTGGCATCATAGATCGTTGTGAGCTGAGGTGATGGGTGCTGAGAATCAAATCCAGGTTCTCAAGGAGAGCAGTCCCTTCATCCCCATCAGATTAGTTTAAAGATAAACATAACAGTGGGCGAATTTTATATTTTATACAAATACAAAACTTTGTATTGCAAGTGGTTGTACTTTTGTTTAAAAAAAATCTTATCTATTGAGAGAGAGTTGATCGGTTTTCTGGGAAATTTAGTTTGCTTCAAAAGAAACCACTGAGAAAATTGAAAACGAAAACAAGTGCCTAGTTTTATTTGTTTCCCATTCCCAATAAAAGCAGGATAGAAGTAAAGATTTTATTTAATTCTACTTGGAATGAATGAATTGCACTGTTTGCAATCACCAGTAACAGCTCTGAAATACTGCTGGGCTAGGATGACATATGCTGACATAAGAAAATCCTGATTTTTGCTGGAATCAGTACTTAACAGCATACCTCGTCACTCCCTAAGGCATGGAGATGCCAGATGATAAACAGGATGTTCAGCCCATGCAGCTGTACGGAAGGCCCCACGTGGATCAGAAGGGCTTTGCTTGGTCGGGATACCTTTCTGAGAGGCACATCGGTGCCTTGTTTTCTTTCCAGTATCTGGCCCTCCTCTTTGGCAGTTGTTTCCTTGTGTGTTTTCCTCTTCCTAAGATGTGCTGTGTGTGGCCTGTGCTCTCCTTAGGGGATGTGTAGCTGTCTAATGTCTCTCATTTGCAGTCGGTTAGAGCCCAAGACTTTTTTCAAGAAAGAAAAGATTTTTAGTTAGTGATGCATAGTAAGACGTGATGTATTGCATCTTTACTGCTGTGAACCACGAATGCATGGAGGTTGTTACGTTAAAACGAACTGTGCTTATGAATCTAGTTTTTTAGTATTATGCTGATACTAAAGTTATAATGGGCTAAAGGAATTCTACAGGTAGAATATATCTACTTTTATGAGTGTGCTTTGGAAAGATGTTTTCATTCCTAGCTATACATTGATGAACTGATAAAGATACCCTCTTTTTGAAGCATTATGAATTAGCTTTCTTCATTCACCAACCTGATTATCTCTAAAAATCATTATTATTTTTAAGATGTCAGTTCTAGATTTTCTTTCCTGGTCTATTTGATGATGTTGTTCTGGATCTATTCTTCTCACTATAAAAATACCACACAGAGAAAATCAAACATAGGTTATAATCTTCCTGAATCACACTTAAAATCCATGATGAAATGCATAGTTTCTGTGTTTTGGCATATTCAGCCACACATTTCTCTCAGGACCCTGGCAGGCATTTGAACTGTCAGTTCTAAAGTAAATCACCTCATCGAATGTTCCTTCTGAGAAAGCTCTTTTATCTGCCTTATTTCTTGTTCTCTCACACAGCTCTCTGCCACTTACACCATTAGGAAAAAAGGACATTTGTCCAGCCAGGCTTTCACTTGGCCTGTGTATCTTAGAGCCTTTTAACCTACAAATTTTTACTACTTGGGGCTTAGATGCAGTCAGCTTTTCCCACACTGCAAAAAAAAAATTTTTTTTGCCTTTTTTTTCTTGCATTTATATTTATATACCTGATCTTCTCTCTTTCTTAGACACCTGTAAGGACAGGCTGGGCATTCTGCTTACACACTTTTCTTTTCCTCTAACCTCTTTTAATAGAATATCAAGTCCCATAAGCACACGATCTGCTTTACATTTGCTTCACCAATTGCTTTACCATTGTATAACCTGGACCTCCTGACTGTTTAGCTGATGCCAAATATTTTCAGTTTTGGTGGGAAAGATTCCACTTGACTCATTACTCTGTATTACTCAGAGTAATTGATATTGCTGCAACCAACAAAGCCCCGAGCCTCCACACAACAAAGATTTCTTTCTCATTTGTGTAAAGGACAGTGCGGCTTGCACAGCGTCCATCTTGGAGCTAGCCGCCTGGCAAACTTGACTGCCGAGGTTAGAGCCCCAGCAAGAGACAGTGTGAAGGCACACGGGCTTGGAACTGCTTTAGTCCAAGGGTGACAGATGTCGCTTCCAGTTCATAGCCCATGGACTAGAACCAGTCATTTGGTTTCAATCCAGCTGCAAGGGAGCCTGGGGAAAGTAGGGAAACATGTGGGAGGGCCAGGGAAGCATTCTGTTTCAATGAAATAAAGTTTTGACTTTAACCTGTTCTTAAATTGCAGGCATAAAACCAACCCATAAACCCTGCACAGACACTGAATATAAGTGTAGCAATGGAAACTGCATTTCACAGCACTATGTGTGTGACAATGTTAATGACTGTGGTGACCTTTCTGACGAAACTGGATGCAGTAAGTAACTATTTTGTATTTCATTATAGTAAAATAGCCAGACAGACTGTCAAATGCCTTAGATGGGCATCAAACACACCATGTAGTCAAGGAATCAAGGGGTGGAGTTGGTCCGTTTGGAATGGTTGAGAGGCCATATTAGTAGTTCATACCGTCAACATCCTTTCTTGCGTGCGCGCGCGCGCACACACACACACACACACACACACACACACACACACAGTAATTGTTACTGCCTCACTCGGCAGCGGTTACTGTCTGCCTCCATACTGATGCTCAAGACGTTTAAGTCATTTGCTGAGGAGCAAATGGAGTAACAGAAGCAGAAATTAAGCATCCATGAAATGCCAGGCAAGGAGAGTGGCCTCTGGTCCCCTCAGACACCTGCTGTGAGACTTTGACACAGTCTGAACTCTTTAAGCCTTGGTGTCTTTACTTACTTACTTAACTAACTAATTAATTAATTGTCAGTCAACTAGCCATTGTGTGTATGTGTACCTGTGCATGTGTGTACGTGTGTGTACATGTGTGTCAAGTGTAGGTCAAAGAACAATTATGTAGTATGGTTCTCTTCCTTCACCTTTCCATAGATTCCAGGCCACTAGGCTTGCGCTTTGCCCTCTGGGCCATGCCAGCAGCCTCTGAGGGAGCTCTCTGTAAGCACCGAGAGCCTGAGACTGGGCATGTTAGTAGGGCCGTTTGTTTTCAGTTTCCTGGGCATACAGGAAAAACATGATGTTTTCCTCTCCCTGAGGCATACAGAAGGCTTTTTGATAATTACTAGCTGGCTGCAGTGAGTTGGCTTGCCATTTACCTCACATACCCTTTCAGAGGGACTCGGAATGCCTGACAGAAATGAAGTCACTTGAGTAAATTGTTGCTAGAATTTGGGAAGCCAGGTGGCAGATTTGGGCTTGACATTGATATGTAAACAGCTTCAGGAGCTAGTGAATTTCCAAGTTTGGCTTGGGCTAGCCTTGGCTTCCTCTCGTTGCCTGTGCCTGTGTTTAGGACAGTACTTTTTTTTTTTTTTTAACAACTTCTTTTTTAGATGAGTAGATGTAATACAGAATTCAAATATGGCTATTCATTTGACACTGATATAGGATTCTTTCCACCCCCCCTTTTTTTCCTCCCTCCCTCCCTCCCTCCTTCCCTCCCTCCCTTCTTTCCTTCCCTCCTTCCCTCCCTCCCTCCCTTCTTTCCTTCCTTCCTTCCTTCTTTCTTCTTTCTTTCTCCTTCCTTCCTTCCTTCCTTCCTTCCTTCCTTCCTTCCTTCCTTCCTTCCTTCCTTCCTTCTTTCTTTTGGCTTTATTCTAAAATAGGACCTCACTATGTAGCCCTGGGTGCCCTATGTAGACCAGAGTGTCTTTGAACCTACTGTGCCACTCCCTAAGTGCTGGGATTAAAGGCATGTGCCACTAGGTACGGAATTATTTATAATGGCAGTTCTCGGGTCCTTCAGGTCTATTACCTTTTAGTTTTATCTTCTCTTTTGTCTTCTTTCCTATTGTTCCCTCACTATCTCCTCATCGCTTCCCTCCTTCACATTCCGTAGAATTGTTTCAGTCAAGGTACGATTTTTAAAAACTTAGGATGTGCATATCATGATGCTTTGAAACACAGAGTCATGGCTTAGCACACACGTCACCAGAGTGTGAATATACTCAGAGCACCCAAAACCAGAATGTAGACAGGGGAAGACTTGGACATTTCCCTAACCCCATTCAATTACAAAGGAAATAAGCCGATGTCATGCAGCAGATAAAATTTCTGTGATTATAAATGTAGTGACTTGCTATTTCTGTGATATTTTTGTAAACTGGAAACTAGAGAGACTGTAAACAGAGATCCATATGCTTGTGTTTGTAGAAGCTGGTTGCTAGGCAACTGCTCTGGCACTAAGCTGAAGGCCCAGCCCCAGTGCCACTGTTCCATGGATCAAGGTGATGGCTAGATGTTATATGAACATCTTCCGTTCCAAATGCTGTGACAGTTCTGCTCCTGTTGAGGTCGCTTACTTTGAGAAACATGATGCAATAAAGGGAGATCTTTCTGCATTCTGGACCTCTTAATTACAGATGGACTGAGAGAGAGAGGATCACCAAGTCCAGTGATACAGTTATGAGGATAGTTCATTGTAGAGAGACTGGCATTAGAGAGATGAGAGAATTACTATGAGCATGCCCATTCCTGGGCATACTGAAACCCTGAAACAGTCTCAACAAGAACTAGAAACCTGGAAAGGTTTATTTAGGAATATAATGTTGATGGCTCACACTTCTAAGCTTTTATGGTTGTAATTTTAAAGTATGCATTCCATGGGAAGTGTTCAACTGAGTGGCATTCTTCTACTTTTAAAACACAATGGTGTTAGTCTATCCTAAATATGTAAATGAATACCCTCAGTATGCCAAAAGAGATCCTGTGATGTGGTTAGGGAGGAAAAAAAATAGACTACTCCCCTCTGCCCCTGTTTACTTATTTATGTAATCACTTTGCAGCCTGCTCGAAGTTCCCACCCTCCTGTCCTCCCAGTCCCACCCTCACGCCCCCTCCCTCCTTCCCTTCTTCCCCTCTTCTCAGAGAAGGGGAAGCCCCTCATGGGTACCATACACTTGGACACACCAAGTCAAAGCAGGGCTAAGCACATCCCCTCTCACTGAGGCCAGACAAGGCAGCCCAGCTAGGGGAAAAAGGTCCAAAGTGAGGCAACAGAGAGCCTCTACTCCCATTGTTAGGGGACCCATACGGTGAGCAAACTACACATCTGTTACACATGTGTAGGGGGCCTAGGTTCAGCCCATGCATGCTCTTCAGCTGGCCGTTCAGTCTCTGTGAGCCCCCATGGGCCCAGGCTAGTTCACTCTGTAGGTTTTCCTGTAGTGTCCCTGACCCTCTGGTTCCATCAATCCTTCCTTCCATTCTTCGACATAGCTTGTGCTTGGTTGTGGGTTTTTGCGTCTGTTTCCATCAGCTGCTGGATGAGGCTCCTGGGAATCTCTGGGGATGACCCTAGCTGAGACTCCTGGCCTGAAGTCACCGCCTCCTGTAGCCAGGCGGACTCCCTGTGAAGGCACAGGGACACTAACCCACCCATAAAACCTTCGACCCCAAATTTGTCTTGTCTACAAGAAGTGTAGGGATGAAGATGAAGCCGAGATTGAAGGAATGTCCAAGCAATGCCTGCAACTTGAGACCCACCCCATGGGAGAGAACCAACCCTCAATACTCTTAATGACAACCTGCTATGCTTCCAGGCAGGAGTCTAGCATAGCTGTCTTCTAAGAAGTCTACTTTGATTTGAACCAGGAGATTCCACATTTTCTTTAGCTGAAATACTTAGAAGCCTGTGGTGGCTAAAACACATTTCACTGGAAAGGTAGATAAAGGCTTGACTCCTGAGACAAACACCACTCACCACTCCCTCTTCTAGCCTCAGCTTTTCAGTTTCTCTTCAAGACCAAAGTCTGGGAGTAGATGAAAGAAGCAAGCTGAGAAGAATGACGAGAATGAAAGCCAGGTGGCTTTCAAAGATTGACAGGGACAAGATTGCTGGGCAAGGATGAACAAAGAAGTATTTGGACAAAATCCAAGTTGTGGATCTATCCTGGAGAATCTAGACCCTAGAAAATTAGGAAAACAGAAGAGCCATTTAGCTGGACACAACACAAACAATTGGCCATCTTTTGCTTTATTTCAAAGCTATAAAATCTAGGGATTTATTAAGAAGTAGAGGCTGGGCTATAGCTCAGTGTTTTTGTTGTAGAGTTGCAATCATGTTTTGCAAGTGTAAGGGCTCAAGGTTCACTCCCCAGCACCAGAAGAAAAGAAATTATCTGAATCTCATAACCAGGAAAGGCTTACTCTTTTTTTGTACATTAATATCTACATTTAATAAAATATTTTAAACAATGTTACAATCGCTCCTCCACTTATTTTTAGATACTTCCTATAGCAAAGTATCATCTAAAGCCTTGAATATTAATAACAACCCATAATGTAAATAATCAAAACTCATCGCTTCTGAGATATATGCTCCTCTTTATATTTTAATGTGTCTCAAGATGAAGTGCATCTTAGAAATTATAACATGTCATAGTACAAGTTATTATTTTCTGTATCATTAATGGTGTGTCAGTGGCAACTTAGAGATTTAAGACAATACAGTATATCTTCTTCCTTACTGCTGAAAATATAATATATATAATTATATTCAAAAATTTTAACCTATCGGTGTTATAATCCTTTAACACAAATCTTAGTGCATATTTTTATCCCTTCCCAGAGGAAATTCATTAACAGAGTAACTGAATAAAAAGATATGATGATGTTATCTTTATTGATTATTTTCTGTGTTGCTGGTAATGGAGCCCAGGGCCTTGTGCACACTAGGTACATTCTTTATCATTAAGCTACAATGGCAGCCAAGCAGGGGTATTGTTAAAGTAGTTTAAGATACATACATATTAGAAAATGTCTATTATGTATACTATTCTAAAGCTCTCTATATGAACTAGACACATTCCTAGACAGACACACTGTCGCAAAAAAAAAAAAAAAGAAAAAGAAACCTGAACCAACTTATTCAGAAAGCTCAGATTCAGTCTTTATTATAAGCATTTTGTGTGTGTAAAGTGTGTAATAAGACTGAGTGTCTTACTACGCCTTGATAAACACCCCTTCAATTAACTGGTTAATACTTGGGGAAAATAGAGTCTTATAACTGTAATTTTGGTTTAACCTGTATCAGTGTTTGCATGTGCGTGTGCGCAAGTGTATGTGTGTATGTGTGTGTGAGTGATCCACCTACCCATCTATCTTCCTACTGACCTAAGATGAATGAGGAAGAACATACAGTGGGAACTGTGGAATCCCCAGGTTCATAGTCTCTGAGTCTGCAGTTGGACACTCTGAGGTTGAGCCTGGTGCTGCTATCTGTGTTGGGAAATGGCCTCAAGGACCATTGCACGTGTGTGTACATATCATCCAGATAATTTTAGGGCTTCTGGAAAAAGGGCACCTGAGGCTGCGGTGTTGGTTATGTGTCTGTGTGTTTGTGGCTTGTTCCCTTCATGTATAATGCTGAGATTTTGTTTTCAGATCTGGGAGAGAACAGAACATGCGCTGAGAACCTATGTGAACAGAACTGTACCCAGTTAAGTGATGGAGGATTTATCTGCTCTTGCAGACCTGGGTTCAAACCTAGTACTTTGGACAAAAATTCCTGTCAAGGTAGAATATTTTTTCCTTCCATTGTTATTTAGAGAACATTACTTTTTTTTTTTTTTTAAGTTCTCCACCTGTTGCCTTTTTATTAAACCGCTGTGTCATTTCCTTGATGGGTTGACCTCCTGGTGCTGTCGCTCAGGTACACAAGGTCAAATAATGAAGGTCTTGGTGGTAATAGCTGCTTATTATACCAGTCTGTGAAATAAAACCACCAGAAACCACAAAGCCAAAACCCACATATTTATTAGGCAAGGCATAACTGAGTCCTGTGGCTTGGGCTCAGGATGTAGCTTGTCAAGGCCACCAGAGATGACTGTGATTTAGGTACCTTTTATCATGTTTATTACTGTCTAATTTATATGCCATACTCTACTAAATATTTTGGCAGTACTCAGGCCTGAACCTAGGGGCAATCTACCACAAAACTATAGCCCCAGCCCCTCAGAGATGGTTTAAAGAATTCTTTCAGTTACTACAGCAAATCGGTTGTTACGTCATATCTGTGAAGTAATGCCAAAAATCAACCAGATGTTTTTAGCAAGCAAACATTTGCCTTATATTGTATGAAGTTATGCAGCTTTAGTTAAAATAACCCTCTGTCCATTGTTGACCAGTGTGGGGGCTTTTAGGTTCAATAATTGTCCACTAAAGTTTTCTTTTTATTGCAGAACAGCTCTTCAGCTAATTTAGGTCTCATTGCTAATGTGTTCATGTGCACTCTGCTTAGTCCTCACTGCTTGTGAATTCTAATGCTGAACAGGTGAAACTATGTGTTTCATGCTTGGTTTTTATTTTGCCTGCAGACATCAATGAATGTGAGCAGTTTGGCATCTGCCCCCAGAGATGTCGAAACAGCAAAGGAAGTTATGAATGTTTCTGTGCTGATGGCTTCAAGTCTATGAGTTCCCATTACGGAGAACGCTGTGCAGCTGATGGTACGTTGGGTTCATATTCGGAACAAGTCACCTCTGGGGGACATAAATCCTGAAGAGTATGATGTACCAGGAAATGATCTTCCACTTTTTGTAGCCTCAGCTACTTCTTTAATGCCTACTCTTCTTTCTTTTCCTCTGCCAGCTTAAAACTCTAGCTATAACCACCTAGCAAATATGTAAAATTAAAAGCCAAATATTAGTTATTATCCAAATTTAGCTCCTTCTGTACCTGGATAAGACTTCTGAAAGGGGATAGATGTTAGGAAACATAAGCAGAAATACATAGCTTATAGCAGGATATAAAAAATTGATGAGGCCTTAGCTCCCAGCCCAGTGGGACCCAAGGCTTGAACCCATGTAATGCAAGGTGAGCCAAAATGCATATAACTGGGGCAAATCCAGAAGTACTTCTATGTCATTGTTTGTTTTAAATTTTATTTTTCTTATGTTTTTTTTCTCTGTTATTGTTATGAACTGATGGTCAGAGATGGAAAAGCTGGTACCTTCAGGACATCAATCATTAGCTTTGCATTTTAGGCTAATGCCTAGATCTAAGAATACAGCTAAATTAAAAAGCAGTGTAGATACTAGATGGAAAGGACAGAGAGAGAGAGAGAGAGAGAGAGAATTTAAATTAGAAGTACTATGTTGCAAATCTCAGAGATCTGCTGTAAACCAACATTTCCTAGTAAAGGGGTATATGGCTTTAATTAGGATTTGAAATTGGTTTAAGAAACTTACTGAGAAAACAGTATGTCAGAGTGCAAAAAGGTCAGTCCAATGCATAGTATAGGTCGAGTGTTTAAGGTCCATGCTTGACTAGCATACCTAACTATTTTATCCTCCAAACAGTTTGAGAGTGAGTAGAAACTAGAGTGAAGGCATCTGAGCAGCTGGTCCTGCAGTTAAGAAGGAAATTTAAGAACGTTTAAATCTTTTAACTAAGGGGGTAGCTGAAATAAATTAGAATATTCATATAAAACATAATGTCAAGGCTGATGAAATAAGAAAATGAACTTTTAAAAGTCACTTAAATTACATTTGATTGACATTTTGTGAGTAAATCAAAATTTTAAAATTCTAGGGAAGTGTTTTGGGATGAGTCACAGTCGAAAGAGCTACTTTAGGTTAAAAAAAAAAAACCTAAAAATTCAAGAACAAGCTGGCTTGCTTCTCATTAGCTAGCAGTTAAATTGGGCTGTGGAGGTGATTATCTGTTAAGGCAATCACAAAACCTGTCAGTCAAGAGTGAGGGCTGATAGCTCCTTAGGAGGCTTTCAGTGAAGGCTGTAAAAATGTGTTTTTCTTCTGTGAGACTTGATGTCTACATTCTTGTCAGTGGATGAGGAAAAAAAACAGGGCCTCTTTGTAGTGGTCTCAGTCTTGTCTAAACTGCCATTAAGGACAAATAAATAAGTAAATATATAAATTAATTAATTTTAAAAAACCAGAACTGATGTTCACAGCCATGGATTTGACTTGCAGGGTAGTCAGCTTTGATGGTCAGAAAATGCTAAAACAAACTCCTCCCTCCTTCTCTGTCTCTGTCTGTTTCTCCCTGTCTCTGTCTCTCTCTGTTTCTCTCTTCTGTGCCCCAAAGGGAAATTCCTGCAGTTCATTTAGTACCTTCTTTACTTCTTATACGTTCAAGTGGAATCTGGACAGACAAAGCAGCCTTTTATTTGCTTACAGGAAGCCCTCCGCTGTTGCTCCTGCCTGAGAATGTCCGAATCCGGAAGTACAATGTCTCCTCCGAGAAGTTCTCAGAGTACCTGGAAGAGGAGGAACATATCCAGACTATTGACTATGACTGGGATCCCGAGGGCCTGGGCCTCAGTGAGTATAAAACTCGCACAGTGCTCATTGCATGGCTTTTCTTGAGTTTTGGATGGTGAAGTTTGGGAACTTTCCTTTTTGTGCTAAGCAGATTTTTGTTGCCTGGGTGGATTCTCCCGTCCAGCAGGTCCCTGGGTTTTCCCTGTGGACTTGGGTCCCTGCTGGCTTTTCCTGACTTCCCACTGAAACTTCTCCTCACATCTCCTTGTATTTGCCCACACAGCTACCCTTCCTTTCTACCAATGAATTGTGGCAAATTTCTAAGCACCAGTGTCGCCTCTGTGACACCCTGGCAGAGTCCCACAGATGCCCACCATGAGGCGATAGCATTTTATACGTGCTTCTAGAAACGTGCTGCATTACCTTTTACAGCTAGTCATTCACATGACTTTTTTCCTGCCTTCTAATTGTGTGCCTTTGGAGTTGAACATAATTCATCAGATCCTGACCTGAGGTCCACCACAGACAGTACATGTGGTGGACACTAAAAGATCTTAGTTGAGTGATGGAAAAAGTGAACAATGCCTATCATTGAGCATGGTCTCCTGTGCCTACACATTCATCTTCTATTCTTATGCCCCATTTTCTAGATTTATGATGTCAAGCAATTGTTAAAATTCTTTAGATCTCATTTTTCAAACTGTAAAGTGTTATTAATCATCTTGTTTTTATCTACCTGAGAGGTTTTCTGAGGGTGAATGTGTCAACACATGTGAAATGTTTATGATCTACTAATAATGATGCCAATATGTAATTTATTACAGTATTTTCACATTTATACTATGCAATATTTTTTTCTCAAGTGTAAGTTTATTTCAAGGATGATATCTGGTTAGGAAACAGATGTGTGCCCAATATGCTCTAAAGTTCAATCTTAATATTTGTATGATCAGTTTAGTCTCAGTGCTCAGTGTGTGTGGGCCAAAGAATTACAAGTTAAAAGCCTCTGAACTACTACCTAGCAGTACCCAGTCTTGGAGGGGAGAAGAGCCCCAATCTTTGTATGTTCGATAAATACCCACTGAACAAGTTCTCAGCCTTTTGGTTAAGGTCAAGTGCAGAATAACTTTTGTATATCAGAGACGAGGACTTTTCACCCGTGTGACCTTTTTAATGACCACAATGAGTATGATTTCAATTTCTCTATATATTCTATTTTGGAAACTAGACTCTTAGCTAAGCTATCTTAAATAATTATCCTCCGGCAGAGATGATTAAGAAAATATCACTAAGTTGAGCCTTTCTAGTTCAAGTGTTCTGTGTATTGAGGTTTGATGTAAGATAAGTAATGATTCTATTAAACCCAAGACCCATTCTTACTGTGCATTCCTCTGTAGGTGTTGTGTATTACACTGTGCTGGGCCAGGGCTCTGAATTTGGTGCTATCAAGCGTGCCTACATTCCTGACTTTGAATCTGGTAGCAATAATCCCATACGTGAAGTTGACCTGGGCCTGAAATACATAATGCAGCCAGATGGATTAGCAGTGGATTGGGTTGGAAGGTAAATATGCCACTCACCTCTTTTGCCAATTTCATTTTCATGAAGGAGTGCGTGCGTTATATTGGTGAACTCAGCTGCTAGCACAGTTCAACCATGCCCAGGCCTGCTCTGGCCAAAGCAATCACCCTTACTTGCCTTTGTGCAAAATAAACATTGTCCCTTTCTGTATTCAGTGTGTGCCACAAAAGGGTTTGGGAAAGCACCCAGGTCAAGATTCCATGCAAGATAGAAGAGTTCTGTGTCCCAAGACTAACTAAGTATGCCTAAGTATGTCAATGTTGTTCTCCAATTGTATTACTTGAGATTAAACATCTCTCTCTCTGGTATTTACTCGGGAAAAAGAACAACTTACAGTTTTTTTGTTTTTTTGTTTTTTTGTTTTTTTTGTATCCAAGCTAGTTGGTACCAACTGGAAAGTCTATTGAACCTTTATCCCTGTTTTCTTCTGTTAGACTGTCTACAGTGTCCTGGCTCTAGCTTAGAACCCTCTGTAGAATCTTGCTCACACTTATGCCTGATATGCAGCCTGGTATGCAAGTGTTACTCACTGGCTAGACATTGGTTGAGAGAGTGTCTTGACCTTGAAAATGAAGTAAGAGTGGGAGACCTCAGTGACTCCCTACCCACCTGGAGAATGGAGAGTCTTTTGACTCTCTAACAGTTTTGTCATGGAAGACTCGAGCTTCTCTGAAGAAGTTGGCTGGGTCCCCAATGTACTTGCAGGCCAACAGGAGACTCAACCTCAGCATGTTGTGTTGAGAAGCAGGGCCTTAGAGAACTGTTACAGAAACCTAGATATTAATTCACCTCTGCAAGGTGTTGGTAGCTTCCCCTCTTCTGAAGTTTTACCTCTTTCTGAGCCTTATTGGATGAAAGAACTAAGAAACTGCAGGAGTTCTTTCTGCTTGGTAGAGCATGAGTTTGTGGCCTTAGATGTGGAAAGAGGGAAAGCCTTGCCTCCCTGAGTTTTTATTTTGAAATGTTATTTCCTCTTACCTTTGGGGCTGATGCCCATTTCTTCTTGATTGCAGCTGGGTTCTTTGCCAGGGAGGAAGAGACTCAAGGGGAAAGCCACATTGTAAAAGAAACTTTTCAGTTGTCACTCTGGAAGCTAACTGCCTCTTTCTGCTAGCCTAGGCCTAGTCCTGGAAGCTTCTAGCCTCCATATAATCTAACCTAGGCCTAGAATGTTTTTAGCCTCTGAGATTTACTGATGAATAAGCTCATCTTTTCTTGTTCTTACTGAGCTCTGGGCTGGCTGGTTCAACTCAGCTGTTCTGGCTCAAACTCCTTTCCCAGCTCACTTATTCAGTCTTGCTTTTCTCTTAGCTCCTGAATTGCTATGTTTGGCCTCAAACTAAATCCAGCAATCTGCTCTAATCTGGTTCTTCCTCATTCTCTGGCTCATTCAGTCTTCACCTAAATTCTCTCTCTCTGCAATCCATCTCTCTATTACTGTCTCAGTGCCTCCTCTCTTTCTTTCATTGCCCCTCAAGAAGCTTCTCTTTCCTCTCTCTTCTCATGAGTGTTGGGCATATTCTATTCTGTCAAGTCTTTCTCTGACTGTTTCTGTCACTGTTTCTCCCACTCAGTTAGACATCACTTTCAAACATTGGTGTTTCCTTCTCAAACTATCTTTGTCTTCAGTGTTTGGCATTAAAGGCATGTACCACCACGCCTGGACCTAAGCCTGGACCTGAAACCTGCTCTATACTAGGCTGGCCTTGAACTCAGATCTGCTTATCTCTGACTACTGGATTTAAGGCATGTTTGTATTCCAGCTGGATCACACATACCTAGAAGGTGATCTCTTAGATGTGCTCTCTTGCTAGAACAGCCATGTTCTGAATTAACATTCCTCTATACCACATGCCTTAATCTGCTTGTGGAAACATGTGACTCAAAAACTTGAGATATGAGGCCATTCTCCCTGCTGTATTCATTGCAAGTGTAGATAGAACATCTGTGTATTTTAGAGACATCTGAGTATTTGGTGCTCTGGCCAGAACTTACAAACTACATTTTCTTATGATCACATTTCTTTTTAAATGACTGCTCCAGCCCTTTCTATTGTTTAACTATGTGCCTCTACATTCAGGCATATTTACTGGTCTGATGCCAAGAACCAACGGATTGAGGTGGCTACACATGATGGAAGGTACCGAAAGTGGCTCATTACCACCGAGCTGGATCAGCCAGCTGCCATTGTTGTGAATCCTAAGCTAGGGTAGGTATTTGAAAGGGTGCTCTAGTCAAAATATAGTCTCTAATGGAGAAATTCCACTTTGGGATATACATGAGAATCCATCTGTTTACATGAATCCAGGGCTGGAGAGATGGCTCAATGGTTGCTCTTCCAGAGAGAGGTCCTGAGTTCAATTCTCAGCAACCACATGGTGGCTCACAATCATCTATAATGGGATCTGATGCCCTCTTCTGACCTGTAGGCACTACATGCAGGCAGAATATTATATACATAATAAATAAATAAATCTTAAAATTATCTCCAAAGTATGAAAAATACATAAAAGCCATGTTCATACATATACATTGCTTATTTATATTTATACTGCAATTGGTAGTTGACCCTACTGTGAGAACTAATTTGGTCTTTTCCTCTTGATTTTTGACATTGAAGTAGGGGTATTTAGCTTTTGTGTAGTGATTTCTAAATTCATCCTATCTTGAGTAGACCCAAGTACTTTTTCTACTTGGTCAGTGTTTGTATTTGAAACACTATGAGTTACCATTCTTTCATTCTGCTCTCTTACATATGTGAAATCATGGCCCTTAGACACTCAGCAGTGATGCTTAAAATATTATTCCCTGTGAAGATCTGACTCCTAATGTGTACTTGACCTTAGCACCAAACTTTGCTTCTTCTGTTTAACATACATTGGAAGTAAAGAGGCATCCTTATAGAAAGAGTACTTCTCACATTCAGGAGAATTATTGTTTGCACCATTGGTAATGTTTCCTGTGCTACAGTACCAGGAAAGCACCACTGGATGAAATGCTTCAACCAGGAAATTTTCTGTTATAGGCTTATGTTCTGGACTGACCAGGGAAGACAGCCTAAAATTGAGTCTGCCTGGATGACCGGGGAACATCGCAGTGTTCTGGTTTCTGAGGACCTTGGCTGGCCAAATGGTCTTTCCATAGATTATCTGAATGATGACCGGATCTATTGGAGTGACTCCAAAGAAGATGTTATTGAAACCATAAAATATGATGGGACTGACAGGAGGCTCATCATAAATGAAGGTTAGGAATGAGTTAGAATTTATATATTAATAATTGTCTAACGTATTTTCAGTGTGCCTTATGATATGGTTTATGTAATTCCTCAGATTTGTTCCCATCAATGCCCAGCTGCTATATTAAATTCAGACTAATTCACAACAATAATCCTTTTTGTATTTTAAGATTCAGACAATGAAAGAGCTGAGATTTCTGTTAGGCCCCTCTGAGTTTGTATCTTCCATTTGTTAAGTCATGAATGTTCTTACTGATCTAACTGCTTCTAGACTTCCATTTTCCGTGTGCCAGCCTGTTCTTATGTTCAACCAAAAACACATAGAAGGAAAGGAGTATTTTGTTTCATTATCCCAACATTTGAAACTCTAACAATCCAGCGTATACCACATTTATCCTAACAGTCTGGTCTGGTCTTACATTCAAAGAGGGAGATAGGGAGGGTCTTATTTCAGCACATTGTTTTAAAATGTGGAACGAAGCCAGCAACTTTAAAGTCAGACCATTTAAGCTGATCCAGGATAGCACTTTTAGAAAGTCTACCCAAACAGGCCAGCTATTACTTTGAGCCAAATAACAACAGACATGGTAGTGGTGCGTGTTGGGTCTCATCACCACTGTTTTGTTTCTCCACTGTTGCTGTGCAGCAATGAAGCCGTTCAGTCTGGACATCTTTGAAGACCAGCTCTACTGGGTGGCTAAGGAAAAGGGAGAAGTGTGGAGACAAAATAAATTTGGGAAAGAGAACAAGGAGAAAGTGCTGGTGGTGAACCCATGGCTCACTCAAGTTCGCATCTTTCATCAACTGAGATACAATAAGTCAGGTAAGAAGCCACCTCGGGGTGAGGTGCTCCTGTGAACCCGACGCCCTCTTTGAAATGAAGGCGATAGTGTTAGTGGATGACAGTGGCCATGATAGGACAGAGGATATGGGTGGGCACTTTGAACACCTTGAATGTAGAAGGAGAACATTGTAGGCTGAATGAAATCATATAAATCATGAAGAGAAAAAAAAATGTTTCAGTCTTTGGCATTAGGGAGATAGCCTTTTAGGCCACAGAATCTAAGTTGATGTGAATGTCAGTAATCGTGTCCATTCTTAAAATGGCAAAAACAGATACTTAATCTTGTGACTGGTGTAAAATGTTATTGCCGTATCATTCATTCCTGCTTCCTAGGTTACCTGTGTTCTAGATCCTGTCTCGGCATGTAATGACCTACCCAGATTTGGGCAATGACCAGACTTGGGATCCATTGGTCTTTTGAGCCATTTAAAATTGCTTAGCACCAACTGATGATAAGATCGTTATGAAATATAGCGCAGCAAGGGGGAAGTGCCTTTGGCGGCCCAAGGCAAGGGGTGGCCCTTGAGATGCTACAGGTCTGGCGTAAAAGAGGTTTATTGGGGGAGGGGAGAGGAGCAGAGATATGGAGAAAGAACAGAGGCTTTGAGAAAACCAGGAGGGTTGGAGGGTGGGTGGGCAGAGAGGTGGCAAATTCAGAGAGGGGGAGAGAGCTGGGGTGACAGGTGGCTCAGGTCATGACAGCTGCAGGTCATGACGAAGCAGTTGCTGGATCCCTGCTACTAGAAATGCCTGTATGCCAACAAAGATTACGTGCGAACCAAGCAGATTTGCATATTCTAAGGGTAGAGAATAGTGGTAGTAACAGAGACTGAAGAGTACCGGAATCAGATGGCTGGGACACTTTGGTGCGGTTGCACAGACGATGGTGTAGATGGATGTGGGTTTCCAGAGAGCATGTGGCCTGGAGGTACTGGATGCTGCTTGGGCTTTGCCAATGCCGGGCAGAGCCGCACCAGCAAGTAGGCACACTTTGATTGGGGTGCTCAGTCTCCTGTCAGGCCCTAACTCCATTCTCCTCCATTTCCCAGTGTCCAACCCTTGCAAGCAGGTCTGCAGCCACCTCTGCCTGCTGAGGCCAGGAGGATACAGCTGTGCCTGCCCCCAGGGCTCCAGCTTCTTAACTGGCAGCACCGTGCAGTGTGACGCAGGTGAGGAGGCTAAGCCTGGGAGCCTCGCATCCTTCAGTAACTCTCCAGATCCTATATATTGTGACCTTTGTTGGGAGTAGCTAGAAAAAGGGATGAGGGAAACATGAGAAGAGCCGGGTGAGATTCGGGGGGCCAGTCATGTTGCCATTTGTGTTATCAAGACATTTTGAAGAATGGGTTTTCTTTAAGGCTCTTCCTCCTCCCTACCTTCCCCTTACCCAGAATTCACTCAAGGTGGAGAACCATTTCCTGACGTGGGAGGAGGTTGCATAGAGCAGGAAGGGGCTTGAGGACCCTCCTGGGTTTTTGTTTTTTTTTTTTTCTTCTCATCTGCCCATTTCAGAATTTTAACTGTCAAATGGCTGTATTTTGAAAGCTGGCCATGTTGCTGAGAATTGAAGTCCAGAATAAGGGTGAGGTGATTTGATTCTCTCGCAATGCTATCTATGATCAACCTCTTCTCTGAAAGACCCTTTTTTTTTTTTTTTCTTTTCTCCAGTAACTCTCCTAAATACCTTCTAAGGCATGGGTATAACTACTGTCCCTAACTAACATCCTGTTTAGAAAGCAATAAGAAAGTCACCTTGCAGTTTACCCCGACAGTTTCTGAATACTGGAGGAGCAAGCAAGCAAGGATTCACCTCATGGGGAGAGAGTGCCCAGGGTGGAAATACTGCTCTGCTCTTCTTTTCCTCCCTTCTTCTACCCCATGTATTCATCCCAGAGCTTCTGGAGGAATGGTTGACAAAATTCTGACCTTTTGAGGCTGGAGAGCTGGCTTAGTGGTTCAGGGAACTGGCTGCTTGTTCTAAGCTCCCACACAGTGACTCCAGTTCCAGGGGATCCGACAACTTCTGGCTTCAGAGGATCCTACATCCACGTGGCACACAGACAGACATGCAGGCAAACGCAAGCACCTTGTAGGTTTCTCACTTAAAAGAACTGTATCTGAAGTAAGCTCATTAAAGATGGCAGTATGCGGTATACAGGGCTTTGATGTGGATATTGTTAATTAACTTATCAGTTAGTTCAGTGGTATTTGTTAAATGTCCACCTTTGTACTAGGTATGATTGAAAGTGATACTAGATGAGAGTTAAGCAGACAAATCTCTTCTCGCATTGAGCTTACTTGCTAGTAGGCCAAGAAACCAAGGAACCTATGAAAACTAACAGGGCAGGTGGCTAAAGTATAATGGGGAAAAGTGGATTAGGGCGGTAAGAGGCACAGGGCCGGCCTGGTTGGCTTGGCCGCTCTCTCTGACTGATGAAGAGAACACTGACTAGAGACCTACAGAGCCCAGAGAGTAGACAGACTCCTCAAACAAAATACACACATGATAAAGGTTTATCCGGGGGGCACACTAGGGCTGAGCCAGGAGCAGTAGCCGGAGGTGGAGTCCCATCTCATTAGCTGTCCCTCGGGCGCATGTGTGTCTGTCTGTCTGTGTCTGTGTGTCTGACTCTTGCCTTATCGTATGCTGATGCTCCGTAGTCTTGCATTGCAGTTTCAAAGCTGTGTCTAGATTAAACTCTTGGTTTTCATGGTTCCCAGAAGAGAACTCAGTGCTACAACTGTATATCATTCCCCAAGATCCTAGCACTGTTTAGGAAGTTCATTCGCCCTTGGGAGACAGGTTAGATAGCCTGGCAGGGAGACTTGTCAGCTGGCCTGACCCTCCCCATCCCCCGCCTCAGGCCCCGGCAGGGCAGGTTTTGCATGATGCTGTGCTTTGCTGCCTTGTGGCTGACTAACGCATGCATGGCTTTTCCTTTCTGCAGCCAGCGAACTTCCCATCACCATGCCCCCCCCATGCAGGTGCATGCACGGAGGAAGTTGCTATTTTGATGAGAATGACCTCCCCAAATGCAAGTAAGTCTGACTCTGGAGGTCCCAGCTCCAGGCCTTGGCTCGTGTAGGGAACCCGAGCTCCTAATATAGCTGGGAAGACAAGTCCAAGAAGTGTGCCCAATTTACCATTTTCACACCTCACCAGCTTTTCGTTTCTGGGGGGGGGGAGGGGTCTGCTGCTGGAGGTGAGGTGGGGCCTCCCAAACCATAACTGGCCTAGGCCTCACCTGAAGATTCGGCTCAGATATCTAGGTGCATTCCCGGGGACACTGCCTTCTAACAACTCTTGGGAATGCCATGGGCTTGGTGAAGAGCGAGGAGCGAGAGAAAGGCTCTTGAGGGGTACTAAAAGAACAGGGTCTGTGCTGTGTAGGGATCACAGTATGTCCCCCACGCCACCTCCCCCCTCAGCTGGCAAGATGGCTTCCGTATATGGGAGAATAACTTACAGAGGAGATGCTTTAATACAAGGGTTATAACAAGCAGACTAGCCTTAGTCTGGAGTGAAGAAGCCTGCTGGAAACTTAGATCGCGGGGCAAGATCAACTGTTGTCTTGCTTGAAAGCTGTTGGGGTGTGGAACTCACCGTGTCTGTACACCCTCTCTAAAGAAGAAACTCGTGGAGCAGAGAAAAGTCATTTCATGAGACCGCTAGGGTGCTACTCCACCACTAGTGAACTGGAATCAGTGTGCTCTTAGCTTGGCAGAGTAAACAGCTGCGGTGCAGGCTGCACTGCTTACATCCTCGCTGGACCAGAACTCTCCCTGCCTCGGTGCCCGCAGTATCTAGCCTAAGAAGGCGACTGAGTCTCCTTTTGCTTCCAGGTGTTCTAGTGGCTACAACGGAGAATACTGTGAGGTTGGGCTCTCGAGAGGCATCCCTCCGGGGACGAGTAAGTGTCGGGAATATGACCTGCAGCAGCCCCAGCCCTCCATCTTCCTTTTAACCCAGTCTTTGAAGACCCAGCGGCTCCAGCCCCTTCAGCCCTTCCTTGCCATGGTCCTGATGCTGACCCTGTTTCTTCTTCTCTCTGTGCAGCAATGGCTGTGCTGTTGACTTTCCTGATGGTCATCATCATTGGAGCTCTGGTCCTCGTTGGATTTTTCCACTACAGGAAAACTGGCTCCCTTTTACCCACTCTGCCTAAGCTGCCAAGGTCAGTGTCACTGGGAGGCTTGTAACAAACTTGTTTGAACGTGACCATGTGTACAATTAATATTTTAAAAGAACAGTAGTTCACCTATTTCTGTGAACTCAGGTAGTATCTGTTTGTTTTATGAGGCAGAATTTTTTTTTTCCATGAAGCTCAGGTTGGCCTCCACCTTGCTATAGGACCACAAGGATGAGCCACCATGCCCCCCAGTTGTGAGGATTGAAAGCAGTCGCTGTCACTCACAACTTCTTCATGGAGTTTCCTCCTGAAGCTCGTGTAACAGACTGTATTTTATCATGTAGGGCAGCCTAGAGCAGAGCTGGCTGTGTGTTGGCTTGGCTTTCTGCTAGTGACTACTATTTCTTGTTCCGTCTTGTGTTTGGGAAGGTATTTTCCTGTGTTCAGTTAGACGAGGGACCTTGCTATTGTATTTGACATGTGCACTGGGGGGAGAATTGTACACTGGAGATTCAGTAAGATGGAAGGAAAGTGGTCATTACAAAATTAAAAAAAATAATAATAACCACAACACAACACATTGCTTTGCTTCATTCCAGTTTAAGCAGCCTTGCCAAACCCTCTGAAAATGGAAATGGGGTGACTTTCAGATCGGGGGCTGATGTTAACATGGACATTGGTGTGTCTCCTTTTGGCCCTGAGACAGTTATTGACAGATCCATGGCAATGGTGAGTGGGGCTTCTGTGGGATTATTTGAAGGTTTTCATTTACACTGATTGATGGGAGAAACTCATCATATGAGGAATAAAACTAATCTTGAGGGATACTAAATGAACACGGTCTGTGCTCTGTAAACCACGGAGTTGATGGAAACTGGCTCTCTACCATCTTCTAAGTATTCGCTGATAGGCAGGGAGCTAATCTTTTCCCACTCTTTCTGGCCCCGTGTGTAGAATAGAGTTGTGCCCGCCTTGTGTGAGAACCAGGCAGCACACTCCCACGATGATCTAGCACAGCCTTGGCCCAGGGGGGGCTTTCTGTCATTGGACACCCACTTCCAGGGTTTAGGCTCCACCTCCGGCCTCCTACCCCCTCCCCCTCCTGAAAGAAGAGTGTTCTTCATGTCACCTTCTTTTCCTGGATTTCCTTCTGCCACCCACCTTCTAAGCCAATGTCCCAGTCCAAGGGAGCCAAGTGCCATAAAGAATCCAGCTAGAGGAGGAGTATGTGTGCTTTCTGCAACAGGTGGCTGAGTTCATTTTCATTAGTTGAAATAATGATCTGTCACTTAGAAGCATTTTCTGTCCCCTACCTTCTCTAAGACTTCCTGTTTTGGGTGGCACTGTGAAAGTGTCTGGTGTACATCTAGGTATGAGGGAGACACCTTTCTGTCTGAAGCCAATCAGTGGGCATGACCCCCCTCCCTCTCTCTCTCTCTCTCTCTCTCTCTCTCTCTCTCTCTCTCCACCCAGAATGAGCACTTCGTCATGGAGGTGGGCAAGCAGCCTGTGATCTTTGAAAACCCCATGTACGCAGCCAAGGACAGTACTTCTAAAGTGACCCTGGCAGCTCAGGTGAGATGCCACATAATAAGGCTTTCAGTGGTTGATCTTTCTGTGTTGCAGAATGTCCCACGAGGCTGCTAGCCTGCCCTCCTAGGGGAGGAAGCACAAGGGGCCTGCATCTCAGCTCCGCCATCCACAGTCACAAACCTGCCCAGGATACAGCCCAGCAAATAGCCAGAGTCCTGGGTCGTGGTAGAGATGTGAGGCTCAGTGGCCATGCTGGGGACACTCACTGTGCTCAGTCATTCTGAGTCAGAGCAAAGGGTATGAGTATATTAGAGATCCAGGGGACACGGGGCCCTATGACAGAAATAGGGGGTTGTGTCAGAAATGGGTAAGTGGGAGATGAGGGTCACCGGGGGCTAAAGAGAGGGTGACTGTTCTGAAAAGGACAGAAATCTGAAAATAAGGTTTGCATAGAAGGCTTATTACTCTGTACCTTTAAGAGAAGCTGGGAGGAGAGATAGGTGTTTAGACACAGTGCTTCCCATTAGTCTGGGCTAATGGTCCAGTGCCACCTCCAGACCCGTCAGCCTTTGACCTGTACCTTCCTGGTCTATGCAGCTACAGTGAAAAGCATTCGGTGTTTGCTAGAGACCAGATTCCTCTTGGATTCAGCATATGGTATATTTTAATATGAGGTGTTAGAAATGTTTCTTTCAAAAATAGCTTTCTTAGGAGCAAAAATATTTGACTCTTGAAAGGATTTTGCCTACTCCTTGATAATGCATTATGGAATAGAGATGACATCTCGTCTGGTGTTTTCACATGAAATAAAATGAGGTTGTGCATACAAATACAATCTAGGTTTAAAAGGAAACAAAATGGTGACTGTAAAATATAAGAAAAGGAGCAAATTGTCTTCCCTGTGATATATATATAGTTAGGGTGATAGGGGTTTATGGGAATAGTCCTGGAATTATGCAGATTTTACAAAAATAGAAATGTATTATTAACCCCATTTGCCTACTGTTTTAAAAAAAAATCATCTTCTTTAAGGCAGTCCCCAGTTTACCCATTTTATTCTTTTATTTATTTTCTATTTATCTCTTGAGACACAGTCTCTCCCTGGAGCCCTGGCTGGCCTCAGACCCGCAGAGATCTGCCTGCTTCTGCTGGGATTGATGGCTTACCCCACCACAGCTGGCCATCCTCATTTTATTCTCGATATTCAAAGAGGAATCCGTTCACTGTGTTTGTGTGACTGTTAATGCTGTTACTTAAGGCTTGGTTGCCAGTAAGGGACCGGGACACCTTTTCTCCTAAATCACTGTCAACAGTGGGAATGGGGATTCTAAGCAACGCAGCAGGAATTATGTTAAATGAGGGATGTACTTGCCTGCCAGGGTTGACATTTCAGGTGACTTAGTGGTTGCTGCTCTTATTTGAGGGAAGGGGGAGTGGTATTTAGTTTATAGCTGCCAGTGTCACTTATCTGATTAAAAAAAAAAAAAGTACCTGGCCAAGTCTGTGGAAAATGAGGTGGGGAGCAGAATCCAACATCTGTTTACTTATTAATAAAACTTTCAAAACTGCACAGGGCCTGTCAGTATGTTCACAGGTGACTGTATCAGAAAATGTGGAAAACCAGAACTATGGAAGTCCCGTGGATCCTTCTGAGATAGCTCCAGAGCCAAAGCCAGCCTCCCCCAGAGCTGATGAAAGTCAGGTAATGTTAGTGTACCCCAGAAAAGCAATTTGCAAAGAGCTTAGAAATTTCTAGGCTGATATTAATCTACAGAAGACCCTGTACAAAGAGTGGAACACAGAATTCCGGCTCTAGTATGGTTTCAGAAAAGGGACGTTAGATTTGAGACATTCACACAGCCTGCATGGTGATGAATGTGTGAAAGACCCTTCCCTTGGAGAAGGCATCGTTTCCAAGCTGCTCTTAGGGCGTTACTACTATTACCAATATCGACCAGCAGGGGGCACTACTTTACCTCGTCCTTTGCGTCTAGCTGGGCCTGATTGTCCATCCCAACCACGCCACAAGCGTTACTGCTTTTGGTGTGCCGGGCAAACTGTCTAGTGCAGGAGACAAAAACACTGCTTGGTGATTTTTTTTTTTTCACCGTATACGTTATTTTTTTTTTTGCATTTCATAAGATAGTTGGAGTGTATTAAATGGATGGTGTGCTACTAACTCTAATGCACGCGCATGCAGCTACCCAGATCAGCGTGCTTGATTCTAGACACTCATTTTTATCTCAGAACTGTAGTCCTTAACAGTGCCCCTCACAAGGAACTTTTTTTTTCTCTTTAAGCTACGTTTAAAAGTGGACATTGAAGATTTGTTTTCCACAGCCACCAGAATACTTGAATATCAGATGTTCAGTCCCTAGGCCCGGCTGTACTCCAAGGCAGTGCCGGGTTTATTTTTATTTATTTATTTATTTTTTATTCTTAACATTTCCTTTCCAGCCCATTCCAAGTCCCAGCGATCTTTTTTTAGTCAGGGTTAGTTCTGCCTGTAGGTGGAGGTAACGGGGCAAGAAGCTGCGCCTTCTCCTGCACCCCAGGCCCCAGAAACAGAGCGGATCTGAGGCAATTACGGGGGGGGGGGGGATGAGCGCCAGCCTTTGCCAATGGCAGCACGGCCCCACATCTCCATCCACGCAGCCCACTTGCACTTGCCTCGTGAAGACAGTGCGCGCTGAGGCCCTCTAAGCTCAGTTCACTACCATCTGTCCAGAGATCCCGGAGTTCTGACCTCTGGACGCTCGCCTGGCGCTCGCTTGGTTCACTGAGGATGTGATGCACCAAGGAGTCTCAGGTTCGGCTCTCTTAGCAAAGATGCTGAAAAGGCTCAGAATTCAGACCCCATTGCAGAATCCCGTCATTTCCTACAAGTTGCATGGACACACACGAGATCTCCCAAGTGACTGTTCGGAATATTAGCTTTCCTCCACTCCGGCCCACATTTCCGGGCTCTGACTGTTACATCCTCCCTCGTTTAAAGACACACAGAGCGGATGTGTGGGTTGAGTGAATGGCCCTGCCTTCCTTCCACGGTCATGTGCTACTGGTTCCGCCTGTAAAACACGTGCGTTGCTTGAGCTGCCTGTAGAGGTGGGGGGAGCCTGTCAAAGAGGTGGCCAGTGCCACGACCACCTTCTCAGCAGGCTCGGGCCAACCTAGTGTTGTGTGTGACTGGGGTTTCTCTGGGTTCTTTAGGACAGTAGGCCTCTCTGCTTGTCTACCACTGCTTAGCTTATTTGTCCTGCTGTGTCAAACAGGGGAAACAGAAAAACCTGCCTCAAAGGATTGCTGAGATGAAAACCTCCTAAAAACTCTTAAAGCAATTCCTGATATGCAGCCAGCACTCAGGAAATGTCAGTCGTTGGTGATGATGATGATGGTGATGAAGTGAGAGTGGCTGCATAGTTTTGGAAATAAGAGATGCAGTTTGGCTTTTTCTTGAGCTTCTAGTCTACTCCAGAAACCTCTGTGTGTTTCAGTGTCTTATGTACTCTGTACTTGACTAGCTGCCTGGGAAATCTTCTCGATGACCTGGGTCCAGATTCTCGAGGTGCACAATTCACGTTGAGGAAGAATTTTGAAACTGTTACATAAAGACACCTTAGAGAGGGTTAGTTACTGTTCAGGGACCGAAAGAGGAATTGAACAATATATTACTTAAGCCACATCCCAAGTTAATTTGTTTTCCATAAGAATTTAAAAACCTAGGAAAAGACACCTACAGAGGAAACAAAACAGAAAACTTGATTACTGAAAGCCTTCCATCTCCCCTTTTCATTTAGGGTTCAAAATGGAGCATCTTCAAACGAAAACCCAAACAGACCACGAACTTTGAGAATCCAATCTATGCCGAGGTAACTTTTAATCCCTGTGTAGACACTCACTGTTTGGCTAGACTGGGCACACACTGAGATTTCCCTGCGCAAGCTGACAGAGGTTGCTCCTCACGGAGAACTGTTTCTGGCCATGCTGGGAAGCATGTCTGACTCATGTCTTGTTGTGGTTGTAGATGGACAGTGAGCAAAAGGAAGGTGTGGCCGCAGCACCCCCTCCGTCTCCTTCCCTCCCTGCTAAAACTTCAAAAAGAAATCCGACTCCAGGCTACACGGCCACAGAAGATACCTTTAAAGACACCGCAAATCTTGTTAAAGAAGATTCTGATGTATAGCCAGGCCAGCTCTCTAGGGAATGATTTTGACACTCACTTTTGCACATGTATTTTTTACAGACAAATGAAAAAAAAAAAAGAGTTAACATTCAATACTTTATAAAAAAATATATTTTTCTCTGTTTGCCTATAGTCGAAAGCGTGTTGTGTGTCTTTTCTTTTTTTTTTTTTACTCATGCCATTTCATATTTTTACACAATTATCACGAGGTACTGTCTATATCTTGCACTGATGTTGTCTGGAGGTGATGCTGTGAATATACTGTACTTCTGTAAATTTTGGGAAGGATTATCACATCTCTGCATTTGCTGATGAAAGTGCCTGTTGGATGGGTTGGTGAGCTGAAGAATAAATGATCTGGTGAGGAAAGGAGTTGGCTTATTAAGTAAGGCCGTGGAGGCATCTAAAGAAGAGATACCACTCAGATTTTCTTTAAAACAATCTAGGACAGGCATCCTGGCTTCATTTGTAGGCTCATTTTTACTCCTCAGCACTTAATTAGTAATCACTGTTTAACATTACGTGTTGACTTGATGAGTAAGTGTACTGATTGGGGCTAGCGTCGGCTTCGTAGACTGTAGATGTGTCAGACGACATGGAAGGTACAGCAAAACGATTCAGTTGGGCCCTTCTGCATGCCTGTTTTCTGACCCCAGCTGCGTTTTGAATGTTCTGTGCCCCAGTTGCCAAGTCAACAGTTGTATCTGCCATGTCCTGTCCCACAATGAGTTTGTATCTCATTTGAATGAGCTCTTTTGCTTGACGGACCTTAAATCAACTTATGCCCTTGGCTGGCATCTCAGGTGTCACCTATCTTAGTGGCTGGAATTCTGGAGCTGACTTACTAACACCAAACCCATGTCTCCAAAAAGCAGGGTGCCAAACAGATACAAGTTAAGTGAAGCCTCAGCTGGGTTTTATTTTTTTTTTTTTGCCCCTATGTGCAAAATATTATTATATTGCCTATTTATTTCCTCAGTTGACAACGAATAGAAAGGGAAAACATTCTTACTGAGCCTTTTTTAGGTCTTTGCCTAAATCTGTACATTTTGCGTCAGGAGGTACTGTACATCCCAGCTCTTCTGAGCGGTTGGTGTATTCTCTATGACAGGAACCATGGCATGAATATCCATTTTCTATAGCAAGTAGCAGCCCTGGTTCTCTGTGCTAATATTGCACACGAATGAATGGAAGGGTGGGAGAATGAATGAATGAAATGTACTACTGATTATTTTATTCTCGAGTTCTCAAAATATTTTGTTGCTCATATTTTGAGTACTGTTTATAATTACTTTGATTAGAAAAAAAAGCAACTGGAAATTATGCTGCTGAAAATTTCTAATAAATGTGTATTTTATCAGACGTCTTCCGTGTCTGTGTGTCTTCCTTGGGCCTTGGTGAGAATTCACTTGAACTGTGCATGGTTGCTCTGTCACTTCCTTGCCTCTTCTCCCACCACTCAGTGCACTTTTTGAATGGCGACTGTTATGGAAATGAGCCAGATTTCAGATTTTAGCCAGACCCTTGGAAGGATGCGCATACCTCATCTGAAGCTGAAATGGCATGAGAAAAGGGTTGTGTTTTATTGTCCTTTGTGTTCAAAATGTCACAGCATGGAGAACAGAACCATGGATGAAACACATTTTTTCAGATGCTTCTAAGAACATTTCATTCTTGGTTCTGTTGCTATCCTTGTGGAGCTCCTGTCCTCTGGATAGCAACAGAACCAAAATATCTGGGCACAGGGGTCTTTTCTGAGACTGATACTCCAACCAAGGACCATTCATAGATATAAGCTAGGACCCCTGCACAGATGTAGCCCATGGCAGCTCAGTATCCAAGTGGGTTCCCTAGTAAGGGGAACAGGGACTGTCTCTGATATGAACTCAGTGGCTCACTCTTTGATCACCTCCCCCTGAGGGAGGAGCAGCCTTGCCAGGCCATAGAGGAGGACAATGCAGCCAGTTCTGATGAGACTGGATAAGCTAGGGTCAGATGGAAGGGGAGGAGGACCCCCCCATTAGTGGACTTAGGGAGGGGCATGGGAGGAGATAAGGGAGGGAGGGTGAGATTGGAAGAGGAAGAAGAAGGGGACTACAGCTGGGATACAAAGTGAGTAAACTGTAATTAATATAAAAAATAAAAATTTAATAACACACACACACACACACACCCCACACACTATAATCACATACATGTAGCTGTGTAGATTATGGTGACAGTTGCTAGGCTTTGGACAAGGAAATCCATGACTGTTCTTGCTCAGTGGTGAAGACAGGCTGCAGTCCTGGGCAAGCAGTATTCTTCCTGTAGCCAGTGAATTCTGGCTAACTGAAGTCTCGCCTCCCTACAGATCTGCCACTTCACAGGTTGGCTGTGCTGTCCCGAAGGTCTCTGCCTTTCGAGAGCAGTGGCTTTACTCCAATCTTCATCTGGAACTTAGTTCATTCAGATTCACTGAGGCTGTTGCAGTTAGTCCCGAGTTTGTTATAGGAACTTCAAAGAAAGATTTGCATGTTGACTTTATCTACAAATGTTGCCTCTCTCTGGAAGAGCTGTCAAAATGCTGTGCTTCAGGGTTTTTTTTTTTTTTTTTTTTTTTTTTAAGTATTTGGCCACTCTTTGCAAGAGTCCACAAATCTGCAAATGTCTTAAGAGAGCTGAGGCCCAGGAGGCGATGTGGGCCTCCCACATGGGGGTTTCTAGGGTGCAGAGAAAGCCCTAACAGGGAGCAAGGCTGGCAGAGCCAGTGGTATCCTAATGACTTCTGGAGGGTTGACAAGTTGTCAAATGGGCTCCAGATTAAAGGTCACAGAAGCATAGGAGGAAAACAGGCTTTGTTCTTTAGAAGTTAAACTTAATTTTTGTTTTTTACTTTTAGTCATGGTAAATTCATGATAAGAAATTTTATACTTTTAAGTGTGTGTGTGTGTGTGTGTGTGTGTGTGTGTGTGTCATGTGCCATGGCATGCATATGGGGGCCAGAGAACAATGTTGGAGTCTGTTCTCTCCTTCCGCCATAGACGCAGTGATAGAACTCAGGGTGTCTGGTTTGCACAGCAAATGTGGTACTGAGCTATCTCTCCAATGCTGGTTTTATTTATTTATTTATCTATTTATTTATTTATTTATTTATTTATTTATTTATTTATTTTATTTTATTTTTGAGTCTCTGCCACATAACCCAGGCTAGCTGCAAATTCATGATTCTGGTAAGACTGCCAAGCTAAGACTGAATCTTTATCCATATCTATTTTTATTTGTTGTTCAAGATGCTTTTGGAAGGTTGCTTGTAAAGGCTTGGAAAGTCACCCAAGTGTGGTATTCTAAGATTCTGTTTGCATTAGGGACCATGAAGGGACAGCAGGAAGTAAGCTCTAGCCTTGTGCAGCAGAAATTCAGTATCCTGTGTGGGCCATGGTTATGGCATTCAGAGTATAATCCACTTATGTCAGTGACTGAAGCTGTGGCCGCCACACCCAGGATTGGTGAGGTGAGAAGTGGGGGAACCATAACTCTCTTGCTGCCTGACTTTGGTTAAGCTATTGAGTCTTTCTTATTTTCGGTTAATCGATATATATATGTTGGGGGTGTTTCTCAATGGTGGACCGCCTTTGAGATCCTGGCACCAATGGCACCCTCCTTATCCAAAACAAACACAAATAAACAAAACAGACAAACACAGCACACCCTCGGGAGGATGGCGTTTGGAGAATAAACTTATCAAAAAGCAGCAGGCAGCTTGCTGAACTCCATGTAAAGCGCCCCATTTAAATGGCAGGAAACTTAACAAAGGAAGTATTATCCTCATGATGCTACAGGCAGCCAGGAGACCCAGAGAGGGGCTCTGTTGACCTCAGATTGTAACGTAACGTGCCTGGTCCAGTGTCATCCTAGGGAAAAGTCTGCTGTTAGTTCCTGCCCGGGGTTGTTCCTCATTGTAGATGCCTTGTGTGGAGGTGGCATAGCATTGGGTGAGTTTTAGAGAGATGTCAACAGCATTGAGAAATGTCCCCAGCCCATCTCTGGGTTCCTAGCTAGCCTGATCTCAAATGCCAGAGTGGGGTCCTCTTCATGGTTTTCACCAGCTTTGTTCTGACCAGCGTCACTGGTCATTTTCGGGATTAAATGTTGCAGCCTCCCTCTTTACTGTCATCCCAGCGAGCTTTTTGCTCCATCCCTCATCACCTCTCACATTCCTTTGACAAACTACACTGGAGGTAAGCTTGGAAGCACCAAGAGACAGGCACTGAGAAAATTACGAAAGACGATGCAGCGTAGGGCTAACTGGACTCTGATATTATTGTCAATTTTGAGATGATGCTTAGAAAAAAGTAATTCTTTTTTTTCTCTTCAAAGTCAGGAAGGGTCTCAGGTAGCCCAGATTGAACCTACTATATAGCTGAGGATGGTCTTAAACTTCTGCTCTTTCTGCCTCTACTGGGAATTTTGGATGTGTATTACCATGTCCAAGTTCATGTAGTGCTAAGGATCAAGCTCATGACTTCGTGCATAGTAAGCATGCGCTCTACCAACTGAACTACAACCTAGTCCTAGAAACCTTGTTCACATCTTTCTGCGTTCATGCCTGGTGCCTGTGGAAGTCAGAAGAGATCGTTAGGTCCCCAGAGTTGCTTGTGAGCCACCATGTGGGTTCTGGGATTTGAACCAGGGTCCTCTGTAAAGAGCAGCATCCAGAGTCCTTAATTGCTGGGCCATCTCTCCGGTCCCTGTTTTGCTTTTTTTTTTTTTTTTTTTTTAACTGAGCTTTTCAGATCTTCTGGGGAGCTTGGCCTCTTTTGTAAGGGCATCACTTGCTTCTTTAGTGCATTGACCTGTGAGCATTGCCTTTTGTGGATATAAAATCAGCCTGCCACTTAGATTCCAAGTAAGAACCAACGAGGAAGTGTATTGTTCTGAGCGTTTTTATCATAGCGTTGTCTATACAGTGGCTCCCTTCTTTGTAAAACCCTTTCTTGAGGCTTTGGTATAGGTCATGCAAGTCTTAGATTTACAGGGCTGGTCACAGAGGCGCTCCCCCCCCCCCCAAGTTTATACTTGGTCTGTGTCTTCTTGCTTTCTAC